GGTCCGGTATTAGGATCCATGCATCTACATCACTTCGAGTTTCCAAAGGCCCATATTGAGCCTGTCGGTGGCGGAGTTGTATCCGCAGCTCAACATTTGATAAGAGAAAGGAGAGTAAATGATTTTTTGTGGATATCCATGAGCACACGCATACGCATACGCTCTTACTTGACCCCATGCTAGTGTAGAGTCTTTTTGGTGGCAATGATACCGTTTTGAGGAGGAAGTCCTACTGGGATTCTGGACTTGTGCCAGTTACAGCACTACCGTGTGCTACATAAGGCACCGACGAGTACCGAGTGAAGATCACTCTCTTACGTACAACCAATGAGAACCTGGCGGAGCACTTGAGGCTGGACTGGTTGAAAAATTGGAAACAGCATCTTGAAGGTCTTGGGTTCCATGGGAGCCCTGATACCCGGGCCTGATTTGGACCGTTGGAGAGAATTTGGACCCTGCAAACCTGACGATCTTGCTCGGCGTTGGTGCAGCGGTTCATCGCCTCCAAGTGTCTCCACCCCAGCGACACAGTAAGGGTGCGGCACAGCAGCTGGGCGTGCTGCCATCAAAGTTGCATCCGACTCTTCAGCGGTGCAGGGCGCAGCCGGTGAGCCTTGGTCAAAGATCAGCGTCAATGAGCCGACTCTTGATCATCAGGAGGAACGTTTGGCTTTGGAGAGCTCGAACTGTTGGAAAAGAAATTTTGCATCCCCAAATTCGGTTCTGCTGTAATCGGAACTGGGTGACCGGACGGAAAGCTACTAGCTGAGGCTTTGAGTTCTGGGGAGCATGACAAGCGTTGGCTCTAGTTGGAGCTTAGGTTCCCCCGCCAAATCCTGGGGCCCCCGTGGGAAAATCACAGTGGGACAAACCTGAGGACGTCGGGAGATGGGGCCGGACGGGAGAGGCGCTACTCAGGTTTCCATTCCTGACTGCAAGCTCCATTTGGCCGAGAAACGTGTGGATCAAATCACGAAATGCCAATGTTCATCGGCCCGGTTGATAGGGATGCACAAGGAGTTTACGCCGAGAGTAGGCCCAACGACGTTATCAAAGAAAGTGGCCTACCAGACATTCAGAAGCTATCTTATGTTCCAGTATTAAATGGTCGTATCGTCCCATTCTGTTAACTCTCTGCGACGTTAATGCGCGTTTCTAAGACATTGAGGCTACTAAGCACTTAGTGTGAGGGGGATATCCATGGCGCACATGCAAGGTTGATCGGCTTGCAAGCCTACCCCTCTTTCTTGGGGGCTTGCTTGGCAGCGTTCACCTCGTAAGATGATTTGTTTCCGCTGATCCAGAGGAATTGATGTTCCATGTAATTCCGGTTCGAGCTTGCAGTTCCGAGTACCACACTGTCATGGGACTTATTCATGGGCATGTGGACAGGATCCAATATCATTGGGCCGAAACGGGTGCCAACACTCAAGTAGCCAGACCGGATAGGGAACAAAAGGGGAGATGTTCAGTGAATGCTTTTCTCTTTCGGGCTATTCCGCAGCGGCAAACCCAGGACAGCTTTCGGACTTGACGCCGAATGAGACTTGAGCCTCATAGAAAGTAAAGAGTAGGCATCAGGGTTGGTCAGAAATTAGGATATCAACACGGCTCCTCTGAGCAAATGTCATGAGACTGTCTCTAGAAGATTGATCATAAAATTATCTCGCGCATTCTCGGCACCGGAAGGCTTGAATCCAAATTCAACGGTTGCCAAGAAACAGCCTTGTATCCTGGGATCCTCAAGGTACTCCGAGATGCTGCTCTACAACCTAGCGTACCAGTTTTGCTAGGATTCGTTGACCAGGGCTTGTTCGAGAATCGCGAGCTCTTTCAAATTGCCGATCCCCATCATCGCGTTAAGCTGGTTAGGTTGTGTTCAGGAGGCCGTTTGAACTTTCATCGGGACTAGACAAGGACCCAAATCCTCAATCCGACGTTGCGAGAAAATTTTGTGCTCTCTGGTGATACAGATGCCAATCATACGCTAAGATGAGAGGATTCAGGCCTCGCCTACTCCGTACACACAGGGGATATGCCGTACGTAACTGGAGATACGAAATCATGCCAGGAGGCGCGGCTTTTAATCCGAGAAGTCCCGTAAACCAGCATTGGTCTTGGACAGATCCGACAGAGTCAAATTGACCAGGTCTTATTCGTGATTTCAGTCGGCTTGATCAAAAGTCTCTTCACTTGCTCGTCCAGGTTTGCCCTTCTTTCAGTCACTAAAGTATACAGGAATATGGCGACCCCTTTTCAAACAGAGGCATGGACGGAGTATGGGCTTGGTGTCTTGGTTATTCTCCTTCGCATCTTTGCTAGATGGAAAATTGTGGGTTTTAATTGGCAAGGCGACGATTATTTTGCCATATTATGCCTGGTCTTCTGGACTGTAAGTACGCCGCATACCCGAACCTGCTATTGACAGTCCGGACTTCAGGCTGGAGTCTACCTTCTGCGGCTGACTTTTACATACAAGTTGGAGCTTTGCATGTTGGAGCTTATAGGTTGGCATTCCTCAATGCTCCTCGAGCCATCGTCGACGTATCTTCCACACTGACACTTGAACTCTGACAGGCCAGAATGGAACCAACATCGGAATCACAAATGATATCGGCGCAACGTTGACATCGGAGGAGATAGCCAAATTTGACTTTGGTTCCAAGTGCCTGCTAGCAGGCTGGAACTTTTATGTAACCCTCATTTGGTGTCTCAAAGCTTGCATTTTGTTCTTCTTCAGTCGCATCACGTTCGTGTTTCCCCCCGTCCTCGGAAAGCGAAATTGGTCTCATCTCTGACGACATGATATAGGCTTGCTACAAGACAGCAGAAGATTGTCAAATGGACAGCCGTAGCGACAGGATTAGCCTATGTTGGTGTCATAGCTGTCATTTGGGGGCACTGTACACCTGTTCAAAGGAACTGGCAGGTGGTCCCTTATCCAGGAGGTACGTTATTCCCAAGACAGAGGAGAACTATCAAGTTACTGATAATGAATCAGACGAGTGTACTTTGGCCGTTGCGAACTACTTGAGTCTTGTGGTACTCAATATTTCGTAAGTCTAACAATCGACGATTCGATACCTATGACTGACGAAGCCTTTACAACAGAACAGACTTCCTCATTGTATCAATACCACTACCACTCTTGTGGGCCGTCAAGCTCAGTATCAAACGAAAGCTTGCTATTGGACTCCTGCTCTGCTCGGGCATCTTCGTCATGATCGCCGCTTTGCTTCGCTGCATCCTGTCGCTCAAGGACATTGAAGGTATCAATGTCAGCACCATCTGGGCAATAAGAGAGACTGTATGTGCTTCCCAAAGTTTATGACTGGAAGGAAACATTGGTACAAGTTACAGGACTAACAAGGTTTACATTATTTAGTTTGTTGGAATCATCGCCGTGAACGCAGCCTGCATCAGACCACTGTTTTCCTCCTCACATTGGTTGAGGTCTACTAAGGGCAGCAGTGGAGCCAACCAGAAGTACCCCGGCTCAGGTGACAGATACGGCCATCAGTTAGTCACAATAGGAGGTGGAGGGCAAAGTGTCGATCGATCTGGATTGCCTTCAAAGAGACGGTACAACAAATACAACATGACGGAGCTGGACAACAACTCAAGCGAAGAGCAGATTGTCAAATCGTCCGACTCAGCCAGCTGGCCTCAAAATGGAGGTCGCGACGGCAGTTTAAACAGCAAATCTAGTGGGCAGCACGGGCATGGTGGTATTGTTGTGACAACTACGTATGAGGTGAAGCCCGAAAACAAGGTCTGATGTTTGCACCGACGGTCGTGAGTGTGCTGGACAATGAATGTCAGGATGGCAAGGTTGGGGTAGAAAAGCCCGATTCTATGTACCTTTACTCATGTTGCTGTATATTGAGTTCTTGAGAATACATGACCTGGTGAACATGACATTTCGATCCACTGGAAGCAACTTTTCAGTTCATTTGATCACTGTGAAACTATGGTCTATTGTGGATCACTCCCCTATTGATTATGACACAAGCCAGGTAGTCAGGCATACATGCTAAATGATATCAGCATCAGGCTTCCTACCTTGATGTATTTTGTTAGTCGTACTACCTTATGTAAGTTTATGTCCTCTGAATGTCATTAGTGCAATGTAGTAGCCCAAAAGGTAAGCCTGCTTCCTGGTTTCTGGACGTTGATCGAGTGTTGCAACCTGAAGTAATTACGTACTGCGATAGGGAGCACGCCTGCCGAGACTTGATCATTCGAAGGCTTCGGCATCCATCCGTCAAGGCTTTCGACAAGATTACCATCGCCTGATTCGAAGTTGCTTGACCTTCATTCCACACTTTCGAGAAGACTTCCTACTGTGTTCGTCTGGACTAAGTGATTGAAGTCCAGGATTGCGTCCTGAATCAAGAGGCTTTTCGTCATGGGGGCATTGTTCTTAAAGCAGGAGGGCTGACTCGCGAACTTGGAATTGAGCTTGGAAAATCTACAAGCGCCAGACAAGGCAGATTAAAAGCCCGCAATCTCTCGGGCGGCTCTACTCACCGTCAACCCGTTAGAGCGTCAAGAACCTGCTGGCCAAATGTAAAGTTTCCCGGCAGCCGTCCGTCGCATTTTCTTGTCCAGTCAAGTGTCCTGCGGCTGACTGAGCCCATCGGATCGAACACGCCGAAACAGACCAACGCGAGATCGAATTTGGCCGTTGGAGTATCAGAAGAGACTGCGCGCCTACCGTGCGCCGCGTCGCCGAGGTCAGCTGTAACAGGAAGCAGTCAAAACATTGGATGGCTAGCAACTTTTTTTTATACTTCTGATTCACATTCCCGCCGAATTTCACGGAAAAGCTCTTATGCTGCACTCCCAGTAATGTCTCTTCTGCACTAGGACTTGCCTTGCGTCGACTTTGCGTTAGCTTAACTCAACCATCCGCTCTTCTTCGAACGACAAGCGCGAATCATTGTCCTGACGATTCCCTTTGAGAAGCTGAAGATCAATCGTTTTCTAGACTCTATAGCATGCGTCAGCGCAATCGTATGCAACGTGTTCATGGCGATCATGATCCCTTGCCTGAGTTCACTAGCGACACCCTCCGTTCGGTAAAGGCTTCGTGGGACTTCTTCATAGCATGGCTGAAAATCACCTGGTTTGACATATTTGTCATGTCGGCAATAGGTGGCGCTGCTTTGGGAGTAAGTCTTAGATCAACCGGAATTAGGTGACAGGGAATACTGACGCGTTGTCGCAGATTTACAATGCGCCTCTAGCCGCGACGCGCAACTTTCCCATCACCTTCAACGGCTCTGGAGACATCATATACCCTCAGTGGGCATATCCTGATCGCGGCTGGATCATCGATACCTGGCTGTCTGCATTGCTGTCCGCCGCCATACCAATCGCCGCCATTCTTCTCGCCCAGTTCCGCGTGAGAAACATCTGGGACGTGAACAACGGCATCATCGGCCTGATATTCTCCATCTCGCTCGCCACGCTAATTCAAGTCATCGTCAAACAGCTCATTGGCGGATTCCGACCCTATTTTCTGGCTGTCTGTATGCCCGACGTCACGCGAGCAGCTAGCAATAACGCAACGGGACTCAATGCTGTTGGCTTCCAGCAAATCATGTACTCAGTCGATGTTTGCACGCAACCAGACCGCGACAAACTGAAGAATGCGATGACATCCTTCCCCTCTGGCCATTCAACGGCCGCGTTCGCAGGTTACATCTACCTATTTTTGTATCTGAACGCTAAACTCAAGGTCTGGGCAGACTACCGCCCGGCTCTTTGGAAGATTGCATTGACTTTTGCGCCACTTCTGGGCGCCCTACTTATCGCGTGTTCTCTCACCATAGATCAGGCTCATAATTGGTATGACATCGTTGCTGGAAGCACAATCGGAACTACTGTAGCGTTTGGGTCCTATCGCGGATGCTATGCTGCTATTTGGGATTGGCGGTTCAACCACATTCCTCTGCAAAGGCGCGATCATTTTATCTACTCCCCGGGAGATGGCATGGAATACAGGAATGATGTGTTCACGAGATCCGGTGGCTGGGGAGCAATACGGGAAAAGGCAGCAGAGAAGAGCCCGCCCAGTAGGAGAAGCAGTGCCTACTACGCTGATCAACAGACTGCGTATCACGGAGCTTCGGATAGGGATGCCTTGCCATCACAGCTACCGAGAACACGCTATAAACAGCGGAGGGGCCAGCCTCGGGGGGACGAAGCCGTTTGATAGATACTGTGTATCGAAGCCGTTCAGGGTAGCGACACGCAACGAAAATGGCAAGAGTCGCTGTCAGTTGGTGTTGGCCTCTTGGTAGGATAGTGGGAAAGGAAGTTGATCCGATGTGAGAATTGCATGTTCCCACTTCCCGTAAAGAAGACATGTATTTGAAACCCTTGCTCGATCTGTTTCTGGGCGACTCAAATTATATCCTATCTTGGATTTATTCAATATCAGGGTAACTTCCTTGGGTATCAGGATTTCTAGAAGCGGATGAAGGCCGCTGTAAGTTACCGTCACTATTGACCACAACTCGTATGAGGACTTAGACTTGAAGCCTCAATCATAGATTTAGTCGCATCTACCGTTGGTCTATCAAGATTGTTTGAACCTCTATGAAGCGAAGCGAGCTGGATTCGCGTCTGTGGAGTCAGGCGCATCATATCCTTGCTAGTCTTTTCCCTAATTGCGGGCTCGCCGCTTATCCCACGCGAGCCGCGGAACTCAAAAGTCGGAATAAAAAGACCATGATGTTGTGCATCGGTCAGCTTCAAGGATAAGGCTCGGGCTTTCATCGCACACATGTGCAAGCTATGCGGTTAGCTTGTATCATTTTGTCTGTTATTGCTTTCTACAATGCGTGACATGACTCTATCGGCACTCGGGTAGGAGTATGTTGGCCAAGTCTCGTTTGAGATAGTCGGCAAGCGCTATTTGTTTGCTGCAGTCATTCTCCTGCCATATTTACATAGTCTTAGTACTACATATCCGTACGGATAGAAAGCCCAAAGTTCGCGCCTCCGGCCATCATAAGATTCAGCAACTCGAATCAATTCCCAACCAGTCTCTTGCTATGTCGTGCCCCTTTTTTGCACACATGCTGCATAAGCCTCATCTTGCGACCTCCACTGCTGTGCTTACAGTTGTCCTCGTATTGCCCAGCAACAGGCGTGTGCACGTCCCACTTACAACCCTGCAATGATACCAGTTCGCGATTATCTTGCTATTTACGAGGATGAAGTCCGAAGAAGCCCACAATAACTTGTTATCGGCTGACTCGGAGAAGCAGCAATAAGGGGAAAGATGCATTTACTTGATGCGACAATGAACTCATGCGGTAATCCCCAGTCCACCAAGTTCAGCCGCAATGGAAGATTGAGTTAAAACCTCCGCTTTCCCCGGACCCCCTTGGCGCGCAGTTCCTGTCTCTTCACGGCTTCTTCGTCGCGACCTTGTCACTCGTTTTTTGTACAATTTTCTCAGCAATTGTATTTAATAGACCTAATAATAATCAAAACAGCTTTACGATGTTGTCCCCGAAAGCCGCCGTCCTCTTCAACTTTGCCCTCCTGGCTTCTGCCGCCCCAGGAAAGCGCCAGTCCACCGGCACAGGATCTTGCACCGATCTGCACATCTTCCTCGCCCGCGGATGGAACGAGGGCTACCCGGGCAGACAGCAGCTCGTTATTGACGCCACCTGCAATGGCCTCTCCAGCTGCGACTATGAAGATATCTTATTCGATGCGTCCAACCCCTCTGGGTACCCTGCCGCTGTTGAGGAGGGTCGTGTTTCTGGAGTCGCCCAAGTCAAGGCATATAGCGAGAAATGCCCTAGCTCCAAAATCGTTCTGAGTGGTTACAGCGAAGGTGCCAATGTTGTTGGAGATATCCTCGCTGATTCTGGGTTGGCTGCCACCGCCACTCCCGGATCCCAGGGTACGTTTTCCATGGCAACTACGCGAGTTGCAGGTTAAGATCTAACATGGCATTCTACAGTCTGCGCCGCCCTCCTCTTCGGCGACCCGACTCACATTGCCAACCAAAGCTACAACGTCGAGGCCGGCTCCAGCTTCAGTGGTCAGATGGCCCGCTCGAGCTCTTCCCTGAGCAACCTCAACAACTTCTCCGGCGTCCTGCGCTCCTGGTGCAACGGCGAGGACATTGTCTGCGCCTACGGCGAGGGCCGAACGATGGGCGAGGATGCCCACACCAACTACTTCCAGCTCTACACCAACGACGCAGCCGCCTACATCAAGGAGAAGTGCGTGCCCTCAGGAACGACCCCTCCCACGGCGACCACCACCTCCAGCCTTCCCGCACCCACCTCCACTGGATCCTTCTGCGTCTCTGGCAAGGTCAAGACAGGTCTGTCCGAGAACTACACCGGTCTCTGCGAGTTCTCTTGCTCCAACGGATACTGCCCTGATGAGGTGTGCGAGTGCTCTGCGTACGGCCAGCAGACGACCAGCCCTGGCGGAGACGGTCGTGATGGATGCCCTGCTACTGGCTTGGACGAAAGCTATAAGGGGCTTTGCAGCTTCAGCTGCAGCCATGGATACTGCCCGACTGGTGCTTGTGTTTACTGCTAAGCGACTACGAGGCGCTGTCTGCAGATGCTGTTTTTGTAGAGCATCAGAAATAGACCAGCCCTTGGGGCATCAACTACGCGTAATGTCACTACTTGGACCCTCAATATGTGATCAGAACCACCGAAGAGCTCTTTGGAGGTAACTCCGATTGCGAGACGATCAGCTCCTGCAACTCAGCCCACAGCCTGCATGTCCCAGAATTTCAAATTGACTAGACTGCTAAGTCGAGGTCCAAAGATATACGATGGAAAATGAGAGCTATGCGACAATTGCTTCGCACACTGCGAGAAGAGTGAAGACTCAATGTAGACTTCAGAATCACCATTTCACTGTGTCCTGCTAAATACTGCAATTATATGTGGCTGAACAGTAGACATGCCCTGGGTAAAGTTAGGAAGCAGTGTCAGGGGCTAAGACTACAAAAATCTGTAGATGTTTCGTTTACCGAAGAGCAGGAATGGCACAGCACACCTTGATGAATGCGACTCCTCATATCTCGAACCTGTGCAAAATCGTGAGAGTCCTGCACAGGCCACGCTCGGGTGCGGGACCCGATGCCGTGATGTGATGCTTTGCCGGATTGACCGCGCTACCGGCACTTCCGACGATTCGGCCGCTCTTCGCCAGATTGGGCTTGCTGCAGCCAAACGAAGAGAAGTCATGATGGCAGTTCCGAGTGCACGGGGCGCCCGGGACTCGATCTGCAAGGACCACGGCCCGGCTGCCAAGGCATGGGTGTTCACTGAGTGGACCACGGGCTGAATGTGTCGATGTCGGATCGAGCAGAGACGAGTTCATCGAGGAGAGGGACTTACAGACTCCAAAATCCGAAGTGATGAGAACTAGTTTGCTTCCGGGGTTGGAATGCGGAGGATAACGTGTCTAGGTTCCCCGGGAGAAGAAGGAGAAGAAGAAGAGCGAGTATTGCGCACAGATCTGGACATCAGATCCGTTGAGCATGCCGTGTTCCCGGTCCGCCCGTTCGGCCCCCAAAGAGATGGCTGGGATGTCCTTTTAGGCCTAGCTACGTCTTGGACAACAGCAAAATCCCTCAGTGCATTTGACGCGATGGGTATTCACAGCAATCCCATTCAGTATTGGCGTCCTTTCATGTCTGTTGGAAGTACAAGCCTCTTCCTATCTGTCCTTGGTCAATCAACTAGATAAAGTCAGTTGAGAGCAAAGCTTTATCTAAGGTACTCTAGTTGACAGACATGCATGCGCCTGGGCCTTTTACCCGGCCATCTCATTTCCGATCATGACTGTTGGTTCGTCATTGTTGACAACAACGAACCGCCCGGCAAGGGAGATGGAGATGCGAGGGATTCAACTTGGCGTCTAATAAGACTGGGATTGCCATGTGACCACAATAGACCCAATGCCCTGCATCTGAATTGACGTCAGCCAACTCGACGTGGTCTTCCATCTTCCTTCCCAAGTGCTTCGCAGACAGTCTCTCATTTCTGTGTGCTCCTCAGTTTGTTTGCACTCCCGTCCTGCAGCTGCTTTGGCTCCCCTGAAAATCGGTATTCGGTTCCATTGAAAAGCTCCGTGGAAAGAAGTGTACCGCTTCAACACGTGGGTGGAGCGAAGTGTTTCTAATTTCGTTTTGGAGAACAAAACGATCGACAGTAATCGACATTTTCCGTTCCATTGTTCCTGCAGGAAACGGGAGAGGTGAGATTGTCAGCTTGAGAAACCGAACCGACGGGCTGTGGCAATTGAGCGGGATGGCAAGCGACAATGGGAAGGTCAAATTCTCCGTGAACTCTATGCTGCATTCACGCTATCCTCATTTCCATCCAGTCTCTCCGAGTAACGTCGAGATGGATGGCTGGATCTGTGGTGAGAGGGTGTGGCAGCTGTGGCTTGCTGCGGCGTTGTCACGTCTTCTAACCGCAACCGGTTGGAGGGAATGCGAAACAACTGCTGTTATCCCTGTATTATCTTTGACTCTTCCAGGTTCCTTGACAATTCCGCAGACTCTGCACGGCCAACGTCTGTTTGACATCACCCGTCTCTCACCTCCACCCCTGTTGACCCAGGCCAAACGCACGTTTCTCGCGCGGGGGAAACGCAACACATCGGCCAAGTGCCACAGTGAAGCCAAATCTGCCAACGCTTGGCCCACCGAACCGGACAGGGTGCTACAAGGTGTGCAACCCGGACTGATGTCATTAACCCACCAACGGGCTGTCGCAATCACGGTACAACGGCATCGTGGCGCCTAAAGAGGCATGGCATTTCTTGTGGCGCGTGGTCTAGGCTTCTCTGGCTCTCCAATGGCCTCGGTGAAGCGTCCCAAACAGATCTGCTACTGCGGTTCGAGAAAACTGGGTTATGTGACTTTGGGCCGCCCATCCTTCAGAATTCTAGTGTGTTTTTTTCACCAAGCTCCCACCGCTCCCAAGCACTCCAAGCTGGTGGTACGCGTCAGACTGGAGCAAACGTCTCTTCGACTCTTGGTACCAGCAAGGGTTTGAACAGACAACGCCGCACGAGGGCGCAAAAGCTCCGGCTTTGATCCACTACAATGATGAAATGGATGGGGTCGACCGACGTTGGAGAGACCGCCTGTCTCGGTCTTGTTTCTAATTGTCTTTAAAGTCTTTTGGGTGTCCCGCTACGTCGTCGAGTTCTCACGATGGTTTAGGCCTTCATAGCAACCGAGCAAGCCACCCGCAACCTAATCCAGGCCACTTCCCTCTCCGGTCGTTATTCTAATATGGCGCCGTTACAGAGTCGCATGCTCGTCGGCTGCGGCCTCATATCTGCCGCTCTCGCTGCTGACAACGTCTTGTCATTAACGCTCTCCGAATCAGTCCCCAGTAATGTCTCGGCAGCAATCGACCCATCATTCGCCGGCTTCGGCATCGAGCTCGACCACCTCTTTTACTTCATGGGCGACGAAACACCAAACGACCTAACCCTTAATCTCCTCGATAACCTAGCGAACTTCACCGGTCGTCCACCTCACATGCGATTGGGAGGAAACACTCAAGACTACCTCGTCTACAACGACTCACAAGATGAATGGCTTATCAAGCCAAATCCCCGCCCTACCGCGCCGGGGAATGTCCCTGCAGATAACTTCATTGTCGGCCCCCGCTTTATGGAGATCGCAAACCGTCTGCCCAAGGGCACGCCCATTACATGGGGTCTCAACCTGGGCTACGCAGAGTCCGACTATCTCGAGAGGCTTACAACTATGGCGTCTCAGATTATCGACCGGTGCACCAACCTCAACATCATGTCCTTCGAATTTGGCAACGAGCCAGACCTTTATGGCGACAACGGTTTCCGCAAGAAGGCGACTTGGTCCGGTACGGAGTACACGAAGGAATGGCGGGAGCGGGCCAATGCTGTATGGGAAGAAGTCCTCGAACCTCGCGGACTGCACAGTGACTTCTTCGAGGCGTCTGCTTCGACCGCCTGGGTAGCTGGCACGGGCTTCGAGATCAAGGATCTTGTTGAGAACGGCATTGACGATAAGGCTAATAACTCTGATGTTGGCTTCGTCACGAGTTGGAACCAGCACAACTACTACTACTTCGTCGGGTCTTTCCCGTATCCCTTGACTCTCGATTACATGCTGCGTTTTGAAACGACAAAGGCGCAATTCGACTCGGCGATTGAGGCTCAAATCACACAAGCCGAAAAGACTACGCATCCTTTTGCACTGCGAGAGATGTCCGTCGTCGGACCGCTCGGTGTAGAGGGACTCAGCAACACATTCGCCGCCGCTTTGTGGACTCTCAACTTCCTCCTCTACGCCACAACGATCAACATCTCGTCTGTTCAGTTCCACATGACGTATGATAGTAATGCTAGCGCCTGGCAACCGACAGCCATGTTCGGACGCGACCGCTTTGTCCGGCCGCTCTACTACGGCATGGCCGCCTTTGCCCAGACTATTGGCCGCTCCTGCACCGCTCGCGTTGCCCAGGCTGAGATTACGGACTATCCCTCAGGCTACAATGACTACATCAAAGCCTGGTCGGTGTACCAAGGCGACTCTCTTGCCTCCCTCGTCCTGCTTAACGGCAAGGTTGCCAACGTCTCTGACGCCAATAAGGGCAGCATCACCGTCGACGTTACCCTGCCCTCTTCCCTCGCCGGCGAGACGCTCCACCTGGCGTATCTGACCGGCGACGGAGCCGACGCGACGAGCGGGACAACGTGGAATGGCCTCAGCTTCGAGCAGGGCAACGACGGAAAGCTTAGCCAGGTGTCTAGCGACGAGATCACCGTCAAGGTTGGTAGCGACGGTAAAGCAAGCATCCCCGTCCGCGATACGGAGGCCGTGGTCGCCAACGTGGGCGCCAAGGTAGGTAGCGCAGAGCCCGATAGCACTGCGTGTGGCGGGCTCGCGACTTCGTCTCAGGGGGTTGGTACGGCGACTACTTCCACCCCTGGGTCGTCGTCGGGTGGCTCGAGCAATTCGTCTTCAGGCAAGAGCAATGATGATTCGGGCGCGGCGGCCTTAGGTTCTGGCACGAACATTTACAACTGCATAGCGTGGAGTTTGGTGCTTACCACGGGAATTTTCTTCTTATAAACTTGGGCATAGAATATGATACCTAGGATCTTGCGTTTTGGCGTACTTGGAAGGATGGATATAATGACTACACAGTTCCTTTTGTCATGTCACCAGAAGAACTTAATCAAACTATTATCATATCAATCTTAGCTTGTGCATCGTGAGGCTGTCCAAATTCGCAATGCTCAACGGTGAGCAGTTGTTCAAAGCTAGCACCACGAAGGATTGCAGTTTTCGGCCCTCGGATTGCCATCTTCTTCGACACTTACCATACTTATCTAGGTAAGTTAGAAAGACTGAGTGATGACCCCTTGTAAAAGATAGCAATATAAACTTGAGAAGCCCAATAAGTGTGCTTTGAAGAAGTATATACATGAATTTCCCTTGGCTGGTCAATCTTGAAGGGCGGCGGATGCATCGTATCATGAAAACTGATCAATCATCATAGCTCTGCTCCAATCCCACAAGCTTGGGTTAGGTTTTGAGTAGACCTGAAATCAACAAGAGCCAGACTTTTCGCCGGGGCCGTTGTACAGTTGGCATGGCGTCTTAGCATCAGTGCAGACATTGACGAGAGTCGCTTCATCGCCAGTCTCTTCGTTGATGCCCGCAACTTCGCCGCCGCCATAAGCAGAGACTCCCTCGATGGTGACGGTACGCTTGCAAGCATCGCACTATATAGTTGTAAGTCGATTGTGTTAGGTTGTAAAGGGGCTTTGCTCTAAAAAACAGCTCACCGTGCCGCAGGCTCTGTAGACCTTTCCGTAGTCAGAGGCGTAAAAGTTCGAAATCTATCATTCTCGTGAGCAACTGGCACATATGAATCTCACGCCTCGAGCGCCGTATACTTACGCTGACACTTCCGCAGCCGTTGTGTTGAACCACCTTATCTGCGGCCTTATACGCACCGCCGCCAATGATGCGAGTCTCGGTGCCGGCCTCATCCTCCTTACTGAAGTCGAGGTTAGTCTCGATACACAGACTTCTTGATAGAACTCTGACGGGACAATAGTTTGACTTACATTGAGATGGCATCCTCGCAGACGTCCTCGAACCACACGTTCTCGATAGTGCAACCGCCACCAATGCAATAGACGCCCTCCATCTGGTCCTTTCCGATGATGGCATTCTTCAGAGTCGCACCCTTACGAAGGAGAAAGACAGTGTCCTTCTGACCACCTTCAGTCTGGGCCTTGCAAGCGCCTGAGCCTCTGTCGAAGCGGGCCATCTTTCCATCGTATGACTCGCCAGCGGCCACCTCGATAGGCTCAGTATTGCTGATTGTCTCTGTCGCGGTAGGGAGAGCGTCCTTGCCCACGCAGGCAGAGACTGTGGGCAAGACGACTGCCAGAGCCGCGAGGAACTTGATTGCTTCGGTGCGCATAGTGACTGAGGTAAGAAGTTGAAGTGTTGATCAAAGAGTGTGGATAACACAGGAGATGCTACTGAAGGCTGGTGCTGAAATCTCTTCTAGGCTATTCTCGAAGCCGACTTTTGGTAGTTTTATACTCGACTTTGAGGTACCCAGTGGGATGACCGAGAAGTAAACAGCCATTATCATTCCAAGTCAATTCTCACAGTAACACAGATAGCTGGATTAAGGAGGTCTTGGCCATTGAGGGGATCCCGCATGTCCTCCACAGCCCGCGCAGTATAGCAATGGGTAGGCCCACTAATTGGCATACATGATCTTGACCTGTCAAAGCTGACTGACGGCACTGTAGTATAGTGTACTACGTAGTACCTATTGGTAGAATATGGAAACCTGTACAACATTCCTCACTCCCCAAACACCCTGAACGTAATTAATCTGGAAACCCGTTCATCAATACCTTAATCTAAAATGTCACATCACACGTGGAAAATCAAGGAGACCCGTTTCGAAACGCGCCAAGATGCAGTTGCCGTACAGAAGAACCGGACAAGATCACCACCGGTCGCCTGTCGGAGGGGTGTTCCCGGGGCCGGACATCGGGGAGGTGAGACGATCGTTACCCAGCGTGCTGCCAAGACTCTGGGCACTGCCACGCTTGGCACGACTGCCCAGAACAACTAGAGCTTCAAATTGAGAAAGGAGTTTGTGGTGTTTGGACCGACTCTTAGCTTCCATTCGTGAGGTCAATGTAAGTTCAGCTTTCTTGTTAGAAACGCCAGGACTCAATCCAAAATTTGCCCCTGTTGAACATCTTAGGATGGGAGTCGAGAGCCCAGACCACAACCCATCTAACAGATCGGGGCATTATAGAAGTAGATAAGCCTTTTGTTATGATATCCACAGCATATTTGAACCATTGACAGGCAACTCTATTGGTGCGTGAGTTCCGGGAAGGTTACAAGACATCCGTACACGTAAAGTTTGTCATCGGACACATGCGCACTCAGAGCGATACAGCTCGTAGTCTACATGACTTTCAGCAAACCATCTTTCACCACATGTTTACTTATTGATTCCTAAGCTCTTCTGATGGAGGTCACAGCAGAGCAGATTGATTGAATGAGGCCAGGAATCCTCGCGATTGAAACAAGGGGAGCATACGCGTTGACGCGCCATATAAACGAGCACGTCTTGGCACAATCAAGGAAGTACGACGCTGTTGAATTTGCATACTGGCGGTATGACACCCTGAGCTCTAATCTGAGGCGCAAACATAGTTTCAATCAATCATTCTTCGCCCTCGCTTGTCGGTCTATTAATCTGAGTGGACATCATCGAAACATGACAACGCTTTTGCGAAGGTATTCTCTGTAGGCTTGCTATTTAGGGAGTAATGATTTGATTGAATTCAGTCAAAGTGTAGGATTGCTTGGGTACGGCGACCTGAGTTCAACAGTTGAACTTCAGAACTAGGAGTCTGGCCATGTGATATTTTCGGACTCCGGAGATCCGAACTTGGAGAATTCGATCCTCGCGAGTGCCTTTCAGACCCGCAAAGTCTGGGCAAAATGCAGTCACATGAGTAGTCAGAAAGACATAATTACTTGCGACGTGAATTAAAAGTATACGCATCAGTTTACAAAACGGCTTCATCTTTAGGAGATGGGGGCCTCCCTTTCCCTTGGTTACCTGTATGATACACAGACATCATGTAGCCAGTACACGCCGCGTCAATGGCATCACAAGATGTTAACAACCTTCCGTGGACGTATGCACTCATGACGAAAAGTTCTTGCTCTCGTGATCGACCTGAACTGTTTCGATTGAAGACTTCGTAGATTGGCGGTCGAGAAAAGGCTTCAAACCCGGAAGGGCCACAACGGTCATCGCAAGAGTCATTTCCAGAATGCTCAGAGGATCTGTGGAGCTCGTGTCAGACCGCGATGTTGTCAATGGGCACGGGTGTACTATACTTACAAACCAAGTTCTCCTGGCCAGTGCCAACTTTCAGGGTAATGAAGCGTACGATGGTTGTCATGATGGTTAAAGTACCAAGAGCAAAAGTAAGAGTCAGGCCAGTGGATCTCTCGAGGACACCTTGAATCAACAGAGTCAAAGGGAGAACATAGACTAGAGATATTACTGTTAGTATGCGTTTTTGAAAAGCCATTGAAGAGTCTGGCAATAAGCGTTAGAGCGTTAGAGAGCTGATCATACCGCAAAGGTAGCAGGCGAGGTTGAGGGTGAAGTTGAGGATGAAGGGCTCTGGAGCGTAAAAGACACTGCATGCGCCATCTTCCTGTGACCACTGCACCGAAACGTCCTTTCCACAAAAGAATGTGTCGTCCCAAAGTATAGCCATGTACGAAAGGCAGACGAAAGCAGTGATACCCCAAAGTGCCTTGCGCATTGCGGGGCTGGTAGTTGAGGGAAAGTAGGCCCAGTAGAATGCCAGCATGCTCATTTTGGGGAAGCCCATTCCGACATCGTAGAAGTAGTTTGATGCGAAGGAGATCTTTTTGCTAGAAGTCAGCGACGACAGGACAGTCTTTATGGCTGGAAGCGTACCTTGGAAAGAGCGACGGAAGACTCCCAGTGATCCATGACGCCGAGTTGGAAGGTCAGAGTGTCACATATGATTAATGCGAGAGCGTTGATAGCAGAGAGGACGAGGAGAATGTCAGACCAGGCCAGCTTCTCTCGTAGCCTGAAGAGGCGAGCGTACATCCGGAGACCGACGAATACATAGGAAAATGCTAGTAGAATCCATTCGGATATCTGAATTCAAGTATTAGAATGGTCTTGCTAAATTGGTAGCGCTAATAAGAATCAAAGCTATAGGGACTTACCATGCAATCCTTTCCGTCTATGAAGTATGCCATCTCGTCGGATAGCTCAAGGTAACTAATTGCAAAGCACAGAAAACTACGATGAATCGGTAGAAGCAGGCTCTGGCATCAACATGTTGTACGATTTGGAGTGAGACATCGACATTAATAAAGAGGCCTGCGGGAGCGACACGTCCGCGCATGCTACAAGCCAGGGTAGTCTCCAAGAGGGCCACATATAAAGAATCGGCTGTCTATTGGTCCGGGTATGAACCGAATTGCTCTAACCGTAGGATCACCAAGATCTCAGTCGTAAAGGGCGCAACATCCCGTGTGGATTCAATTGCATCTCTGACGGTTGGAAGCAGCAATGCTGTAGCATTGACAAGGGGATTAAGCGAGGTTGCAAATTCTGCAGATTTTGATGCGTGAAACAGCCCAGGACCCTTTATTTTTCCTTCTTTCTCGGTCTATTGTCTCTGCTGGCCTGCTCTCTTTCGGCTCGTGTCCCCGGGTTCTTCTGTGTGGCATTACAATTTATTCGTGCGTCCACGCCGCAAATGCGCAGAAATGTGGTTAAATCCTGCCAAAGATGATTGGCTTCTCGGTCGTCCTCCGTCAGGCCCGGACCCGCCAGTTGGTTATTCACAAAAAGGGCCCATCTAAATCCTTTCTCTATCCCCGTGCTTGCTTCTGCCCGGTCTCTACTAACCGAACACCGGGCGACTCGAATCCCTGTTCACATCCTCACGACGTTGATATGTCACGCTCACTCGAGCGGATTTGCAGATCACATTCGATCGGGATCGAGATTGTTCAGCTCCACCTCGCTCACTGAGTCCTCCTCAGAAACTGCTCTCGCTGTTGCCACATACGGCTCCCTTCCCGAGGACAGCTTGATGTGACTGCGACTGAAATTCGTTGGTTGTTTGTCAAATGCCCGCCCTACTGACCCTGTCTGCCCGGTCCCATACTTTGAGGTAGCCCGCCCTCGGCGATGAAGAAGTGACTTCAAGGCAGGGAGAGACACGACAATGATTGCAGCGGCGATTTCGGTCATTGAGAGCACATCTGGAACTCGTTCAAAATCATGCTATGATCTAGATGTTGCATATCATAGTTCGGGAACTTACAGACGTTCGTCCATGCGTTGATGGCTTCCACAGTAGCGAATCTTCCAATGCTGGCCCCTATCGTAATGATGCCCGTCGAAAATGTGGTGGCGAGTCCAATGATGTATCTGCCGCTGAGTTGTAGACCGAAGAGTAGCGGGAATGGAATGGTGAAAACTATTTCCTAGTCAGTCGGCAAGCTTTGATAGCGCGGATGAGACACCTAGCGTACTTAACACATCTGTCACAAAGTTCATGGCCCAATCGATACGGAAAACATCTTTCGAGTCATAAGTACTGCAGTTTCCCTCTATATCCCAGTTGATAGAGACGTCAGGACCACACCAGAATGTATCCAGAAAGAAAGTCGTCACTGCGAAAGAAATCGTCAGGGCGCTCACGCCGTAGAGCGCCTTCCGAAGAATCGGCATTGTTGGCGGAATCAGTCTGAAGTAGAAGGCGAGCAACGCAATTTTTGGGAAGTATATTCCAGTGTCGTAAAAGTAGTTTCCGGCAAATGTGACTTTCATCAACACGATCTGCTTGTCAATGGGAGCCTCGGGGGCGTCGGTATCGTATTCGTCCATTCCGCCGAGGTTGTACGCCATAGTATCGGTCGCGAACAGCGCGGAAGCATCAAGCAATGAAATTATGAGAATCCAATCGCTTATAGTCAGCTTCTGATGCTGTCGCACCAGACGAAGCCATAAGCGTGCGAAGACAAGGACAATGGCCATTCCCAGGAGAACGGCCTCGATAGGCTAGGTTGCTTCACTTTGGTATGATTGACTGAGAATGCCAGCGGTGTTTGACTACCTGTGCTTGAATAGAAAAATGGAAGCTTGACTCACCACAACGGCCTCCTTTGCTACCCCTGCCATGATATGTAGGATATTTGAGGAGCGAAGAAATGTAATTTGTCTTGCCTTTCTAATGTATGCGAAGAGCACACAATCTTGCGTAATTTGGGGACGACTTTGAGCACATGAGAGCGGGATGTTGAAAATTGGATCAATCAGTGGATGGGTATCAACATTGTTATGGATCACCAGGAACTCTGTGTTGTGAGAGAACCCGCGCCAATGGATTCTTTAGGCTGGATGGCGGTTGACCGGAAATTTCATAGACGCAGCATTTACATTGGGTAAAGAAAGGGTCTAGGTATGCGGTGGGATTCTGCCACACAAATCAAAACTATGTACTGACGACGCAAGGGGGCGGCGCTCCGTCGTTCCACTACTCGCTCACCTTCCTGATGTTTTATTGCATTACTGGCCTGCTGAGCTTCCTCTTGGTGAAGTAGTGTGGGAGCGTGGAGAACTAAAAGCTGAGATATTCGAGTTTCAGAGCCGGGGATAACTATCCAAACCGAGCCGCCTGCAAGATAAGATCACGCTATGCCCCGTTTCTCGTGACAAGGGTAGTCCAACACGGGCAGTTTACTAGCGCCGAGACATGATCGAGAAGAGAGCGATGCTGGAGAAGATCCACGGGCACCTCCCCCTTGCCATCTTACATAGCATTCACTAATCGATTCTTTGCAGGCGAACACCTTGTCTTGTTGGGATCTAAACCTTGTTTACGCACAGATGGAGCCGATTCGGCAAAGGATCCGGGTCTCTGTTGGAAGTGCTGTGTTGGACGCTGGCGACTGGAGTCTGCAGGCACGATGTGGAACAGTAGCTCATCCACTCTGAGTAAACCCACCCCAAATTCTAAAGAGCGAAGAAACCGAAATCTTACGTTTCTTGTTACTTTCACCTCGCCAAGCCTGTTGCTCTAAAGCCGTTGGACTTGACAACCAGCTATTTACCTTTTACCGCGAGCAAAGCGACTGGTTAATCTCTCTACCAAAGTTCCACTGTATCCACTCATTGTGTGACTCAAGTAGCATGCATCTTGCTGACTGCGGCGTCTTCGAGGACAACTTACTTCCCGCGTTTCCGTTAACCCGAGCCATCGATCAGGTCTTCGACGATTCAATCTTGGAGGTGGACTGCAATGTACCCACTTACAACAGCACAGAAATGATCTCACTCTGGAACCTGAGAACTGGCTGCAAGAAGAAACCCACCGATCATTGTAGCAAGGTGAAGCATTCAATGAACAGCGAACTTGAGGCTGATGTGGCTTGATAGAATTTTGAAAACAAGTAGCACTAAATCAGGCAGTCTGGCTTCGACATGGTCTAGAACGCATTTATCGCACTCACTTGTTCCTATCATCCTATCTAAGCCAAACTATACTTAAAGGGAAGGGGTGGCGACACGCTCGTACGTCTCTTCCGCATGCTTTTCCGCATCAAACTCGAGTATCCAGTCTTCTCTTGGCAAAGCAATTGTTGTTGGATCCTCCTTCACTTTTTCCCAGTCTGTCTTGTGCCACATCTCACGAGTGGAGACTCCAGTCTTCTGCACCGCCCTCACACGATCGTATCTATGTTGGGTATTAGAATACCGGGTCAATAATTGCTGAAGGGCAAAGGATTCTATCTTACCGGATTCCTTGGTAAGAATTGAGCGCTGTACGAATGTCTTTCTTGCCCGCACGTTTCAGGCATACTGCTATAGTAACGCCGTCTTCCATGGCTTGAGTCGCGCCTTGGGTACTTGTTGGCAAGAATGGATGAACGGCGTCTCCTAGTAAGGCAATTCGTCCGCCTCCGCTGACCCAATTAGGAAGTGCATCGCGATACATGAGCTTCCAATCCACTAGTGATGGAGTTTTCTCGACGATTACTCGGCACATGGGGTCCCAACCCTCGAGTGCGCGGCAAACATCCTCGATCTTACCGGGAAAGGACCATGATTCATCGATGTCGTATTCGTCTTTGTGTGTTAGTACCCAAGAGCAGTCTCGACCTCCCTTCAGAGTAGAGAACAGGAAATGGGCGTCTGGGCCTATCCAGCCATTGAAGGTATCGCCATTCTCACAGAATTGTCTGGTCCGAGGATCTGCCAGTAAGGCGTCGGCGGAGAACCTACGACCTCTCAGAATTAGAGACACCCTCAAACCCCGGCAAATAAAACACCAAGCTTACCATGCCCTCCATATCGCATATCCGCTGCTTTGTGGCTTATCTTTGTGGCCAAGAACTAGTTCCCTCGCTTTGGATCGGACCCCATCCGCAGCAATGACGACGTCAGCTGAAACCTGTAGAAGTACACATATCAGTACGATGTCGCGATGCTACCGCATCAATATCTGACGAAACGGAGATATTGCTCACCTTGCTTCCGTCTTGAAGCTGGATACCTGCAGCATCTTGGTCCTCAAAGTAGTCAGTGACCGGTTGGCCAAGATGTATTGGAATCGCTAGTTCATCCTTCGCATAATTGTAGATGACCTCGTGCAGTTCTCCTCTGTGGCCATTGAGGACAGGTGCTTCGGGATCTGCAGGCGGTCTTTTCTGAGTGAGAACAACTTCACCAGTGTCCCACTTGTGAATCCGAAAGCCGTATTCATGTAGATCGATGCAAAGCGGTTTCAACTTGGAGACGACCGCTCCATTGGACCATCGGTGAAAGATGCGGCCAGCATTCGCACCAAAAGATATGATGTCCCCCAATTGTTTTAGCTCAGGGAATGATTCATAAACCTTAACGTCGTGACCTTGTCGATGGCACTCAATTGCAGTCGTCAGTCCCCCGAAGCCGGCGCCAACAACAATGACTTTGACTCCTGTCTTCGTTTCTGGCTTTGCCATGGTGGTTCCCAATCCAATCAGCGGAGCCGGATTTTGTGGTGTTAGCTCGAATATCCTTTGAAGAAAACAAGTATGACTACCTCAAAAGAGGAAACGGGAATTTGCAGAAGAAGGAAAACACAGGACTCAACATCTGCCGAAGGATACAGTTTATCCTGACACATCTGCCGTGGGGTTGCCATTCTCAGGTATCAGATACCCCACGTCTTCGAGGTATTTACTACCCCACATCCGCCAGGTGCAGCGGCAACGGTTATGATCTCCCGGCCGATCATTGGGACATTGCGCAGACTTCAAGCCTCTTGAGAACAATCCCAGTCGTTTCGATTCAACCAGGCTTTTCCTCTTTGAACTACGAACTGCTTCCCATTCGCTGCACCAAGAATTTGACAGCTCCAAATTCAAACTAGTGTTCGCCCTCCCCACATGCGTACAACCTCATGTCATCTTCTCATAATCACCCGAGCCAAGTTCGCTTTCAGAACTGCCGATCTCAGAAGTTCGAGACGAACCTCTATGTGCGAAGCCTATAGAAACTCTGGGTAGCCCCTCTTTCAGACTTTGGAATAGAAGATGCAAGATTCAAAGCAGCGGTGGTCTCCTACTCAAGCTGAGCCAAGCGAAACATGCCCAAAATGGCTGCTGATGGTATTCGGGCTCACTTTTGGTGCTTTATGGCGTGCGGTATGATCGCATTGTCTCCATTCCAGTACGGACTAGACTTTGGAATCATTGGCGGTCTACAGGCGATGCCTGGCTTTCTCGAGGTTGGCTTCTTCCCCCCAATTTCTCATCATCCGACGGCCTCCTTCAATATATCCTTTGTCTTGAATAAATGCTATTGAAACTGACCTGTTGCTCCAAGGTCTATGGCTACGAAGACCGAAACACGGCCATCGGGTGGAATATCTCCACCACCCGACAACAGCTCATATCTTCTTTAATGACACTTGGAGCATTCCTTAGCTCGGTGCTTGCCGGAGTAATCGCAACTAAATTGGGAAGGAAGATGTGCCTGTGGCTCTCTTCCCTTCTATGCATTGTAGCCAATATTCTCATGATGACCACATCACACATCGGTCCACTCTACTTTGGTCGCTTGCTCATCGGGCTAGGCAATGGAGGTTTCATGACCTTCTCTCAACTTTACTTACAAGAGAGCAGTCCAGCAAAATACCGCGGCCTATTCCTTACTATCTTTCAGTTCTGTGTAACGATTGTGGGTACCCTAATGCTGGAACCTATGCTATTTAGAAGGCCTGGAGTGGCTAATGTTACCTACCGTAGGGCACTCTCCTCGGCACCATCATTGACTGGGCAACTGCCCAGCGCCCTGATAGATCAGCTTACTTGATCCCTTTGGCTACAATTTACGTGATACCGGTTCTCTTAGCCATCGGTCTTTTCTTCATACCCGAGTCACCGCGCTGGCTGATTCTAGAGGGCCGTGTAGATGAGGGTCGCAAAGCTCTTGGATGGCTAAGACCCACTGATGCAAACATTGACGATGAAGTGGAAGAAATTCAAACATCCATCCAAGAACATATCGAGTTGACAAAGACCGTCACCTTTTGGGACATGTTCAAGGATCGAATAGACCGAAGACGCTCCATGATCTCTATCGGCGCCGTATCTCTGCAAGCCGCATCGGGATCTATGTTCATCATTGGTAAGTTCCGGATCCGTTTCACGTCAATTTCATGAACTCATTCAAGTTATATAGCGTATAAAGCATACTTCTTCTCTGTTGCTCAGGTCGAACACCCCTTCGCTATGACTAATGTTCTGTCTACGGCTGGTCTCTTGGCAATTCTTGCAAACGCTTTCATCGTAGTTCGCTATGGCCGTCGCCGAATTATGCTCATCAACGGTCTTGTCATTTGTGGCTGCTTGCAACTCATCATGGCTGTGACATACGACAAGCAACCACATACGATTAATGCGGGGAAGGTTCTTGTCGCAATGTCTTGCATTTTCATGGTTGCTTTCAACGTAGGTTTTGGATAATTATAGTGGATACTTACCTTTCCGCTTCAGATGACTGACAGCCCTCCAGGGAATGGTAGCACCTTACTCCTGGATGGTTGCCGGAGAAGCCCCATCACAAAGACTTCGGAGCTACACATTTGGGGTTGCTTCGGCATGTGGTTACCTGCTGGCCTGGCTTGTAACCTTTACTACGCCTTACTTCATCAACCCTAGTGCCCTGAATTGGGGCCCGAGGTACGGCTACATTTGGTTTCCATCTTGTATCATTGCAGCTTTGTGGGCCTTCTTCTTCCTTCCCGAGTTCAAGGGACGGACTCTCGAAGAAATCAATGCCATGGTAAGAACTAAATTCTCATCCGGGACACTTGGTATACTTCAATCATCTCACTAATAGTTTCAGTTTATCGAACAACTGTCGGCAAGGAAGTTCCGGCGCTACGAAGCTCCAGGAACCAGTCAGCCCAAGACTGTTGACACTTTGAAAGATGATATTGATGTCGCTCAAATCGAAATGGTCAATCGTTCTCGAAGTTTCCACAGCCACTAGTGCTTTCAGCTAGTTCATCAAACTCCAGATCGAGAACCTATCATGTGCGAATGCCCTTAGGATACAGTATACTTGAGATAACTATGTTCTGTGGTAGACATAGCTAGGTGTTTTGGCATGATATGCTCTAGGAGACACCTGTTGTGATGCCAAGATTTTCATAATTACATGTAGGAAAGACTAAGTAAGCCAGTTAGAATCTTTAACAGTGATGAGTCAGGATTCGTCTAGATTTAAGACAGAATGTGAATGACGGCTTTCATGGCTCTTTTGACAACTGACTTCCACCACCCTTTTCGTTCCGTAGCGTGGTTCTGGACACTCGAAATCTCCCCATTACCAGAGACATAATCCATTTCTAATTCATGCTTCATTTGGCTTCCTTCTTGAAGTTCTTCCAGGTGCAGTTTCCTCCTGACATTGTAAGCTCGTATATACCCAGAGAGACTTGTGCGGATGCAATCAATGTCCGTGCTTGACAGCCCTTCATCTTCCACACACTCGTCAAGCATCCGTCGGTGTATGAGAACAAGACTCCTGGCTTCAGTCAGAATGAGGCATGCTGAACATTTCGGGAACAAGTATTGTTGGTCAAGATCGGATGTTGTTGTTGTTGGACAGAACACATGATCTGGCCCGCGAGAGAAGCAGGTGCCATTGGCGTGATCATATTTAGCCACGTAGAGGATTCTGGCGCAAGATTTCTCGCCAGTAACCAAGCAGGGCTCGCCTATGTGACAAGCTCGGTGTTTAGGGTCACAAGCATTCCACAGCCCGCTTCTTTCATAGGCTGCGAACAAGCTTGCCTTCGGACAGGATCGCTCCTCAGCCAGGGCGCACAATCTTCCCACAACACAGCTATTATGAAGACTTATGTTACGGAGCTCGACATTCCAATCGATGATGTGGTGTTCATGACAGAAAGTGTTGGTGGCGCGCTGGGGTTGCAATGTTGCGGACATGTTGCTATCTCTTCGTGTCAGCTGCTAGAACATGGCGCACGTGAGACTCGTGAAAGAAGTGCGGTAAATGCTGGAAATACAAGAAGACGAGAGTAGTAGGACCGCAGATTACCTTGCTTGTTTCGATGAGTTGAGTGGCTCGTCCGGAGAAATCGGCTCAGAAAGCAGGCGTTCGTGTGATACAACAAGACGAGGGATGGTGGAAGAAAGTGAGTGATGAAGAGGCGAGACTATTATGTCCTGAGCTGGAAATTGATTCATTGATCACCATATACCAGTGGGGATTTTATATCTCAAATAAACGTCAAGAAGTTGTCTCTTTCCTCCTTTTGAGGCGCCGAGGTCTGCCTTGCCGGGTATCTGCCTGGCCCCAGCTGCCCGGCCATGCAATGTCTCTGCCTTCTGGTATCGGGCCGTTCGCTGCTGAAAAAAGATACTGTCTTGGACCTTGCAAATTCGCCCTGTAGACCTCACAGACACATTGCTCGTTCTTGGCGATGACCTGAGATTTCTTTGAGGTGAGACAGGACTGTAATGCGCCAGTCCAACTTCCAATTTTTGTGAGATTCATCATTTCTAGGACCTTACGTATTGGTTACAATCTTTCATCGCATAGGACTGCGAAAGGTCAAGTCCAGTTGACGTTTTGAGGTGTTTCCACTGTCATGTAGTGGCACAGATTTAGGTCTCATGAAGGATGGAACAGAGAACTGTGGGAAATAGGCAAAGGCATCCCTTGTGCAAGGCGCCCAGTAGAATTCGGTCTAATGGCTGCGTGGCTGCAACTGATTTCGGTGTAGCACGAAAGTGTCTCAGGACGTTCTCGGGCTACGGTGTATGAATCATTGGCTGGAAGCCACGCTCAACTACCTGCATTGAAGTGCATTTGACAATCCCTGTAATTCCATTCCTCGTCTTGGGCCACCGCTTCAGGGCAGTTTGTATCCCGTTCACAACAGAATCTCGTTCTCTGCATTGCGGTTCTCTTTCAAAATCCTCGACCAAGATCCAAATAAATCATCTCCTTAGCTCTCAACTTGTTCATAGTACCTAGACCAGCCTTCGCCGATGACTTCTAGGCTCTGTCAGATTAGCCAATTTTGGCCATTTTATTGGTAGCGCTATCTCGCCTTTACAATGGTCCACCTTACAAAAGACAAAGTGACTCTGGTATTTTCTCGTTCAATAGTCTAAATGTCCTATCTGTCTTACTTGCGGTTGCTCTGGATGATGTGATATTTACGAGCCGATGTCTCCAGCCAGGGCAACAAATGTCTTGGCGACTGTCTTGCCTAATTCCCGAGTCCCGAGCGTCGGGATTTGGCCTGATCTAAGCTCAAAAGAACAACGTGGTTTACACATTTGGTCAAGCTTCATTAGTATCATACTTGCCACTGACAAAAATGTGATCGGCAGTGGTGTCTCAACTGGCGCCTACAACCACCCCATGAATATATCAAATGAGCGGAAAGATGACTGGCGCATTTCAAAGTGACTATGTCGAAAAAGGAATTCATTCATTTACCAATTTTCATGATTTCAATTCCATGTGGTATGTAGGCTAGCGTAGTATGATAAGATCAGTCGGCAGTTGTTGATGTCGTCGACCATAGTACACGTCTGCGGCCGAGGTCCATCCACGGTCCGATAGCGGAGAGACGGCGAATCGATGTGCACCCGATTCCTCTCGCGGTTGGTTCCGGCCAAGGCTACCGCTCTGACGACCCCGCATCCTTTAGTCGCCTGACAATCTTCCTCAGTAATAGATCGGTGTATTCTCCATCTGTCACTGTTCCTGAGGAGTCAAGTAGAGAATTTTTCAGCAGCAAACGGAGCGAATTGCGGATGCATCTCACAGACTAGGCGCGAGCAAAAAGAGAACCAACTCTCCGCACGAATTTTGAGCTGCGGCATTGCTCTTCTCATCCTCGAACTCGAGTACCCGAAGATCATCACCAATTTATACTCTTTATTATGGCTGATCTTCAGGACCTGGACAGGCACTTAGCCTCACTACAGGCAAGTCCTGCAACACTGGCTGTTCTCAAGAACCTTCATACCCAGGCTCTCAATGAGCCCCCGTACGTCAGCACAGATGGTCAACCTGCTTCAGTGGCGCTGGAAAGATTCGTGGCCCTTGAGCCGGACAAGTGCGCTCTGGTTTACCTCCTCCTGCGCGGTACGGGGGCAAGACATGTCGTCGAGGCCGGGACCTCTTTTGGCGTCAGCACTATCTGGCTTGCCCTCGCTGTAGGACAAAATGCAACAGCACAAGGTGCCAATGGCAAAGTTATCGCTACAGAGAACGAGCCTGTCAAAGCCAGGAAAGCTCGAGAGCACTGGAACAGGGCGGGGCCTGAGGTTGAATCCTGGATCCAACTTAGAGAGGGTGACCTGCGAGAGACGCTGAAGACTGATCTGCCTGAGGAAATTGACTTTTTATTACTTGACAGTAAGTTTGCTTCCCTCCCTGAAAGCTATATGCTGGGCTGCTAGCATACGCCATGTATGGCATGAATCAACCCGCTGAAGACTTGACAAGTCTGGTCGCGGCTTGCGATGCCTACACTCGCTCTTGTGAAGCCGCATCTCAAACCCGGCGCTTTGATCGTCATTGACAACATCATTTCTGGTCAAGCTGGTTACAAGGATCTGATTGAGCATCTGGACGATCCTAAGAATGGGTTCAAGACAACTACGGCTCCATATAATGGTGGTTTGCGAGTAGCTGTATACCTGGGTCATTAGATAAGTTCAGACTTGTAAAAGAGGGCAATTGAGGTGATGGGCAATGCAACCATATGGTTATACATACGCCAGAATATCAATAGCAAGAGGAGCTCCCCGGAGCTTCTGGGCACATTAGGACAGCCTTCTTTAGACATTCACATCCCAAGTTTCGCGTCATGTTCAGAGAGCCTGGACCATTCCCTCGTGCTTGACAACCCAAGTTCCGTCTTTCGGAAACCCAGGTGCGTGCCCTTCGGAGCCTTCCCATCCCGCTGCCATATATCCGATCGCTAAGAGGAACCCCCCGTTTCCAGGAAAATAGGGCGGTGGAGATGGACCTATAGCAACCTCGTTAGCCGATCGTGTTGGGACCCGACGCTAGGTATAGCCTCGTGGTACGCAAACTAGGTACACTCGTTCAGCATGCTGCATTACTCACTTGGACCAGACCTATGAGCAAAACCTTGATCACCGAACGTCCAGTAACCGAAATTAGTTAGGTGATATATGGCTCGCTCTGGGTTCCCGATACGCGCCGAGTTGATGGCCAATACGTTTCGGCCCCAGCCTCTGATTTGGGCGTCACCCCACACATCCCATACCTTGTCTGCAGTTCTAACACCGACTTCTGCGTTCACCTTATGCATCTATGGTCAGCTAATGAAGCAAATTGGGAGTCTACCTCGAAACCTCCGTAAGACTTACCAGTGGGGTGTCGGGTACCATGCCTTGCAACATGATGACGCTTCTAGGATCTTTGTTGAGCTGAGGGTTATCCCACCAGGATGCATTTACGCCGCCGCCGATCCAGGGAGCGAACAGGCCATCATACTCAGGAGGGGATGCCATATTCTCTGCCACTCTAGACCACGCTGAGGGGCAATCTTGTTCAAGTCTCTTTTTCCAGTTGCACGCTGCATTGAGAGACCATTGCCAGTAAGCAAGCTCGTAGGCCAAGTTAGAAATCTCTGTAGGGGACGAATTCTCCGTGACACCCTGAATAGGTGGTCCTAAATCATATTTGCCACTCGCGTTGTTGAACCAAGCGAACGATGCCATGTACTGGGCAGTTGACGTGATGGTACGGTCCCATTGTTGGAGAGTCTCCCTGCTTTGGTTGGCTTTGTAGGCTAGTTCGGCAAGATAGATGGGGTGTGGTTGCTGCCATTGAAGATACGCCCTGGTCTCTCCAGGAGCGATGCCCTTGGTGACAAGCTCCGTCATCTTGGGCCATCTGGTTATCCACTCTGATCAGCAGATGAAGATCTCAAAATTGGATGGACCTGTAAATCTTACCTTGCGCCATCCCATCCCATGCGACGGGCTCTTGCCTCAGCGCTAGGCAGAAGGTCCTCATAGACAGCAGGGAATATCCGATCAAAGTATTTTGATCTTCCCCAAGTCGCCCAATGAGCACAATGCCAAACGACCATCTCCATGTGAAACTTGCCCCACCACCCGTTATACACCAGACCACTTTCCTGTGGTGGCTGGCCAGTGGCTGCGCTGTTGATTCTCATCGCGTATTGGGAGAGTATGATGCGTCGCTGGAGCTCCGTCGCGTTTGGGTTTGACGACTGGGTGAGATCTACGAACCCCCCTTCTTGCCAGTACCTCTGCCAATCGAGACTGTTCCGCCGGCGAATTGAGGAGGGCAGTGACGGTCTTTGAAGCTTGAGACTATACTGGGCAGTGAAGGACAATCCATTCGCTCTGGCGACATTCTTTCCGGAGGCGGCTGGGAACAGTCCATAGCGATGCGCATTAGTCGTGTTAGAATTCTGTTTCCCAATTCTCCTCAAAGTCAATGGTGTTTCCTTGGGCCACCGCAAGTTCTGGTAGTATGACGTTTCTTGCATTGTGTGATGGATATGAGCTGTGTCATCAGAATCAACTCCGGGTTTAACAATAGAAGTAGTGTGATTGTCCGGGAATTGGTAGCTCCCCATGAACACCTCAAAGTCTGATGTCTTCTCAACCTTGTGGATCGGAGGAAACGGAAAGTCAAATTCGACTCGAAGGGTTCCTTCAAAGATCAATACGGACTCGATGTCGAAAGTAACGGAGTCGGTGTCAAAATCTCCTTGAGTAACCACTTTCACATCCTCACCATCAACCTTGAACGACGAAGTAGTAACACCGTTCCAGAGGTCAAGGACTTGGCGGGGTTCCGTGATCGATGATAGCGTCTCGTTCTTGTAACTCAAGCTGATGCGGCCAAGATTGATGCGGTTGGGGTTAGCACTCAACCATTTCGATATTTCTGGCAGCTTCGGATCTTCAAGGTCGTAGATAACTTCTCTTCCATGCGTAACTACAGGGACGCCCGCATATTCTTCCAGCTTTTCTCTAGTGAAATACAGCGCGATGTTAGTCTCCGAAGGACGCGAGTGTGCAATTGACTGAAGGGCCAAGGTCTTACCCGTTTTGTGGCAACGCATCCTTATGCCATCCCCAGCTGGAAAGTGTGTTGAAAGGTACCAACGATTGCGTACCTGTGATGTCAAAATTGAACGCAAAGTCTCCATTTCCAACCTGAAGAGGTGTTGTGGTATTGTCTATGACTTTAGGCACCTCTGTTCGCAATATATTGAAAGACTCCACAATAGCTTTTCTGTGAAAATATCAGTAATGCCAAACATGAGAATATGACGTCTTTTCCTAGACCAATAACTTTCTTTCCTCATACCTGTCAATGGCTGCAGCTGCTAAGGCCGGCGCTAGCAAAAAGAATTGCACGAACATCTCACAAGGTCATGATGCCAATTACTGGCTAGAACTTCAGTGATGATTGACTGGATAGGCATCACTTTGAAGACTTCTGAGAATTCGACGGATAAGCGTGCAGACATATATCCGTGATATCGCGAGGTAGAGACGGGTGACTCGGTTCAAGTCTACCCCGAACGCGGGGTTACGGCCCCTGCTGCCGTTCCCAATTTCCATAGGTCCCACGACGAATCACTCAAAAGACGAATGGGATTAGTTCCGTCATATGTGCGGTGCAACCCACGCCCTGATGGAGCAAATAAACTTTAATGAGCATGTGAGAGTGCTATTAAATATGAAAAGCTTGAGCTAGAAGATCTAGAGACTGGCCGAAACTGCAATTGTCTTGTCAATGAACAGTCTTACGGTCTCGTTGAATTCCTCCTCTCTTTCCCACAACGGCACATGGCCACAGTCTTTCCAAGCAATGTACTCCGGCCCGTCTCCCAACGCAGCCTTGATTAGCTCAAAATGCGGAAAGGTAATGGTTTCGTCAAAAGTCCCGTGCATCACCAAGATTCGGGTCCTGCCTACTTCGTCCCCTATTCTTGCGAGATCTGCGTCGCTCTTGTGGTGCCATCCAGCGGCAATAGCCTGTAGCACGACGCCTTTTCTCCGAGAAAAGTCGGTAACTTCGCAACGCTCTGCGAGTTCCTCTGCCACAAAGCGGTCAAGGTTGGTGGGAAAGGTTTTTTCTGGGTCCAGGGATCCGGTGTCCGGCGCATTGAGATAACTCCTAGTGAACAGCCTACTGGCCTTGTTCTTGAGCTCTACGTCAACTGCTGTGGGAAGAAACATGGCGACTCGTTGTTTCATATGCTCGAATGTGTGAACGGTTCGAATCAGGCGGGGAGCCGTAGAGATGAGGATCAGCGATTGCAATCGTTGAGGTATCAGAAGGGCAAGTTCTTGCGCAATCATGCCACCTAAGCTGATTCCTGCAATGTTCAAGTCTCGCGGGTAGTAATGAGAATCAGTATCGAGCCAGCCAATGTGCCTCAGCAGTTCGACGAGGTCCTTTGCCATATCCAAGGTGCTGTACCTGCAATTTGGCTTGGCCGACTTGCTCACCCCGCGATTATCAAAGACAAGGGAGCTGTAGTCCTCGCCACGCAGATGCCCAAAGTGTCGATTCTGACGCTTCCACAGGTTCCGGCTACCACCGAGGCCCATGATCCAGACAATTTTCTTTGGTCCTCGGCCGTGAATTTCGTACCACATAGGGAATGGCCCACCTGGACGGGACTCAGCCACCGTCGCGAATCCCGATAGCCTAGGTTTAAGACCCCATTGCGTCGTCTTGTATGCGGGATGGCGAAGAATTTCCTCTGCTGAGAGGCTTGTCGCTTTGGTGGACATCTTGTTACTAATCGATCAAGCCTAAATTGCGGGCATGAAATTTGGCGATTGTTGGCTTCCATGTTATGTCAAGCAGTCAAATATGACGGTCTGCTAAGTCTGGGGATAAATTTGGCTCACCGGGGATTTTTCAATATCGGGACTGGTCATGTCCAACGTGAGCGATAGATCATCATCGGCATGGTCGGTAATGCTCAGTTACTGAAGGTTCGCGGTCGCTCGGATCTGTGTTTCACAAGAACCGAGGCTGATGCTACCAAGAGTGGCACACAAGCGCCGATGCTCCAGCCCTTCGGACGACCACAAGAACAACTGGGAGCTTCCAATACTGATGCTCTAGGTTTCAATCGGCACGCTGGGAGCTGCCATGTTCAATCACGAAGGTTGCTCAATTATGGACAAAGTCCAGAAACAACGGTAGACCTGAAGGCTTGAAAAATTGAAGGCGCCCCGACCCAGTATGCCTTATTAGCGGAGGTTTCATGCTGAGATGGCGCAGCTATGGGCTTCAATAACATCCTTTGGCATTCCCAGTGCGACATCCACTTAAGTCTTTGAGATCGGACAGTCCTTTATGCTCTCCGCTCACCTCTATCCTTAACAGTCTTGATACTTGCCAGATGTTGTCAAGTTCTCTCAATCGAAAGTCTCATATTTTGATTGAAACTACCAGAGCATGATAGACTGACATGCACTCATTGGGTTATTCGTTAAAACCCCGCTCACGGCGCGTCTCGTGTCAGCGTCCTTACGCTTGACCTGGCCAGAACATTGACGCCTGTTATTGAGCGCGCTGCCCCTACTCACTTCCAACTGTAGGAGCCCGGGTCGGCCTCGCTGGGAGCCCGGGACCGCCACAATCATACCACAATCATACAGTGACTCGAGGGCCTGCAGATTCACGTCGCGGCTAATAGACGCTTCGTCTTTTGTTGTCCTCCGCAAGGTGAGTCGCCATCTCTCAAGACCGAGCACGTGTCTCACAGGTCCAGCTGTTCATTCAGTCAAAGGATAGCTGCCTCCATTGGCGCCTACAAAGCGACGCGTTTCGCTAAGCGCCCTGTCTGGGGGGACAAAGCAAAGGCAGTTGGGGTTGACTCGCTACGACTCAGACAGCCAAGCCTGTCGGCTCCAGTGTTGGACAGCCTACCAGATGCGCGCCAGGGTTTGGAGAATGAATGATTGGATGTGACTGTTCAGCGCTGCAACAGTAATAGCGCCAAAGCTCAAAGGACTGGTGTTACTATTTGCGTTGAACAACATTGTGAGGTTGGACTCATTGGATGTTGTTTCCGCTCAAGAGCAATGGCCTTTGTCCATTTTCATCTTATAAAGATGGGTTTCCTGGTGTCCTCGATGCTGTCTTGAATCATCTTTACTACGACATTTCATTCTTCTCTCCACTACTTGGCGCCTGTGTTTCCTCGGAGTTTTTTAAGTACTTTGCACTGCCGGTCGGTCTCGCCTTTTTTGCATTATTTTCTCGTTACAGCATCGTTCGATAGGCTTCCCGTGGCCATCTTCCAACTTTGCGTCTTCCTCTCCATTTTTGTGTGCTTTTCGCGATCGCATACTTCCAAACTATTTCCGACATACACGTTCTTTCACCTCACAACGACAATGGGAAAGTTCGGAAACGCTATTAAGGCCGGCCAGAGTGCCGTTGAGCTCGGCCGCAACGTGCAGGGCCTCGCCGGCGCCGCCTCCGAGTTCCGTAACGCGGATAAGGCAGAAATGGGTCGCCAAGCCGGACGCGGTGTCTTCAACGAGGGCGCTGCAACGGGCAAGACCATGGGGAAATCATGGCTCAAGACATTCGAAGTCGTACCCCGCCTAGTCTGCCGCGGTCTCCAATTTCTCTTCGCTCTCATCGCCTGCGGCTTCTACGGCAACCGTGTCGACGCTGACCGCAAGGCAAACGATGGCTTCTCGCCGGAATGGATCTTTGCCATTACCGTGGCAGGAGCTTCAGCTATCACGGCTGTTCTCTTCGTCGCTGCCACACCGCTCGGCGCTATTCCCTATGTTGGCAGCAGAATCAAGATCTTCAAGACCTACCGTGCTTTCGCTTGGGACTTTGTCCTTTTCGTTTCTTGGATCGTGGTGTTTGGCATTTTTGCAGCAATTTTCCTTCACAGGGAGAGCGACAACTCATACAAAGGCAGCAAGACGAGCTTGATGAAGGTTGCAGTCTGGATCGACTTGGTCAATGCAATCTTTTGGTTCGTTTCTGGTGTTTACGGCTGCATCAAGACATTTTTGGGAGACAAGACGGACGCAATGACCGACAAAATTGGTCAGAAGTTATTTGAGAAGAAGAAAGCTAAGGAAGTGCCTGCCAAGGAGGCGGGCTACGCCGAGAGCGTATAATGCGCCAGCTACATACCACATAATTGTTTAACAACAATTCGATCCTTCAATCACTGCACTAGATTTAGCTGTAGAAAGAGACTTGATAAGATATCACTCAACGTACACAAGAGCGACACTCAACCAGTCCTGTACAGGGCCATTCGCTGACTCGTTGCGTTCTCCTCATTCCCAGCTGTCGTACTAGATGTTCCTAATCGACTACTGCTAACAAGAAGCCGTCCAAAACCGTGTGACCCTCATGGACCGTATGCGCGGTTGATATCATGGGAACAACCGTCGCCGTGACTCTCTTATCCTTTCCGACGTGGGTCAACAAGGACTCTTTCCCCTCCTTCGCCTTATCTTGACCCAAGATGTTCCACACCACATTATCGACGTAGATGCATCCCTTCGGTCTGGTCAATTTCACTGCCCAGTCAAAGTACTTCTCCTGCTCGCCCCATGATGCATCGCAAAACACCATGTCAAACTTGCGGCCCTCTGCGGCCAGCTTGGGTAGGACGTCCAGAGCGGATCCGAGTATGATCTCGACGTCGAGCCCCGAGACATTATCAAGGGCTACATCGCGATGCTTTGGGTTGATCTCAATGCTAGTGACTTTCGCTCCCGCTTCGGCGAGCCAGATGGTCGAATACCCGCCGAGGGTACCAATCTCGAGAACTTCCTTGGCGCCTATGAGCTTACACTGGATGGCGAGAAATTGGCCTTGGAGCGGGGCAACAGTGATCTCTGGTAAGTTGTGCCTCTGAGAGTTCGCGATCGCGCTGTCCAATTTCCCGTTTGGTGGGAGAAGATTTGTTCGAGCGACGCTTTCGATGGCATCCACAGCCGCGACGGTGTTTTGCTCCTCATTGGACATCATGGTGGCGTTTCAGGTGATGGTTTTCAGTTATGACTGTTTGTTGTGTCTCCAAAATGACTCCCCATCACCGTCGCTGGCGGGACCGGACTTAAATACTTGCCCACGTTGGTACGCTTGACCTACCTTTACTAGCAGATGGGGTAGACGAAGCACTTTACTAAAGATACGTCAAGTATTGTAGTTGGAGCTCGGAAACCGAGCAGGATTGCTTCGGCGAATTGCACTGCTTGGGAACTTTTGCTCTTACATCACACGCTATCGAGTTTGGAGTACATACCTACAACACAGCTTCCAACGGGTTCGGTCCGATCGGCCGCCGAGATCTATACGAATCTACGAAGAACCCCCTCTCGCGTTCAACGATGCATGCGAAACCGCCGAGATATGCCACCGACTTGCGAAGAATCAGGAAGTTTATCACAGACCGCAATTGGACATTTCATGCATCTGATGCAAGGAATTATCAAGTATTACACAGCGGCCCGGACCAAGTATAAAAGCCGGTTCCGGTCCGTCCACCGTGGGGCCGCAGAAGTAGCTCAGACCGAAACGCGACGAGCGGGGCCGAGACGGTGTGGGGGAGGAGTTTTGCTAGGCAAGCCAAGGTTTCCTGAAGATGCAACACCGCATCGCACACAAGTGTGGTGATGACTTTCTGGAGCGATGGAACAAGGAACTAGTTCATGCTCAAATACCTCAATGTAAGACGGTCTTTGAAATATTACCTCGCTCTCGGTGAGTCTGTCCAACTCAGCACGAGCTGAAGACTGGTGACAACATGCACGTGCCCGGCCCGGCTCATGCCTCCATGTCGTTACCTCCTACCGTCTTTACACAGTACTTTCGCACACGAAATAGATGGGAAACAAGATCTATACAATTTCTTCGATGTCTCAGAGAGTTAGCTAGATTGCAACTGAAAAAGTCTGAGTAGAAGAAGGGTCTATTGGCTTCAAGGTATACCACCAAACACAGGTTGAGCTGTCACGCAACTACGCCAGAGTATCAGTTGAAGGGGAGAAGAGAAAAGACAGAATCGTTTTGCCCAGAGGCCAAACTGGGTACGATACTGGAATTCCTTTTCCCGGAGTAGGGTCAGCAATATTGTCACATGGTACGATAAAGTTTTCTCAAGGCTCAATATCAAAGGTCTTCCATCCTACGGGGGTGTCCAATGAGGTATTTCTAAAGGTGGGCAAGATCGATTCTGCGATACAATCGTGTAAACATCTTGTCCTAGAGGCCTCCAGTAACACATGTAGTGCCGAGACCTAGTAGAATCCGTGTCGATGATCGCGAGTGCGACATCTTCGATCCTTTGGGGTTATGGTCAACAACCTTCAGCTAGCAACAAAGAGACTATGCCTTAATGTCAACACGGGGATAATTTCGCAAAAAATTGCGAGAGATCTTAGATGTAGCGATGAGGCTAGCGGGCCGCATTTGGTGCCCGCGGATTGCGTCCGGCGCTAGAAGTCATAAGGTCCACTTCGTATGAGAATAAGGGGGTCACTCAATGCATCTATCTCCACCAGAAACCTCATCGCAAACCAGGCACAAAATTCGTGCAGTGCCACCAATCACCTCGCTGGATTTGGTCAACACTACTCCTCTCAGCTTCTCAAAGCCCTGAGCGTGGTTGTGCGACCTATTCTTAGCTTTGTTCCATTTGGGCCGATGATTTACTTAGGCGATGTCACTGGCCGAAGGGAAATTTGCGCCAGAAGTTATGGGTATGGCCTGGGCCAATTGACAGTCTGTCCAAACTCGCTAACAATTCGGTCGAGTTCGACGGACGTTTTGAATCCATTAAATTACCAGTGGATTACCACATGTAGGTACGGGTCCTGTATTGCCTCTCGTTGCCTCTCATTCACTCATCAACAATTACTGTGCCGGTCGCGTTGCCTAGACCACATTGTCCCCGCGCTTCGTCTCAACCTCCATTCCAAACTCTTTCTGCACTCTGATCGCCCCGAACCCACTCTTTGTCACGATCCTTTTTTGGCTGTGATCGTCTGGCAAGCTGTCGCTGCTGATATCGCCCAGATCTCTGCCGTAAACCCTTGTTTCAACCCCAGATCGACTAGCTTGGCTGATGTTCTTTCTCGTGGGGTCCCTCTCCCCAAGCTCGAGATAACTGTTCTTGACAGCGGCTGAGGCGGCTGGGTCTTTAGATGACTTGTTTTTCGAGCCGGTGAAGGACGTGAGGCGGGCGAGGGCGCGTTCGAGTAAGGGTCGACATGCGGGGAGGTTGGCGACAAGCATCCCGATGCCAACTTCTGCCTGTGCCCAAGCGAGGATAATGCTGAGGCCTTGCAGAAACTTTTCGGCATCGTTAAGTAGGAGGAGGTAGTTGAGTCGAACAATCGGAGCCACGGATGCACTGGGAGCTTTTAGCGAGGACAAGACGTTTAAGCGCCGAGCAAAACTTACAAGAAACCCAAGCCTAGAAGACCGATAACAGACGCCTTGACCTTATTCGCCATCTGCAGTCTCCAGATGAGAGCAAAAGGCATGATTGCGAATATCCAGTCAGTTGAGATTGATACTGCGGCAACCAAGAAGGACAGGGCGGTCTGAATTTCTCGAGGTCTACATTCGCCTGGCATGCTTTGATGCCAGTTTTTCCTAGTACGTCTTGTCAGCCCGTGCAGAACCACACCTAGACAGGCTAAAGACTCACTCAACCGGCGAGCATTGGAAGAACAAATACATGCCAGTACCTCCTGTGCAGACTGTGACTAGTGCGAGGCAGGTGTAGATGACGATTTGGACCCAACGTTGGCCATTACCGATGCGTAGCAGAGTGAAACCAAGGGACCACTTGAGGGTAACCAAGGTAAAACACCAGAACTCCTGGAAAACATAAAACCACTATAGATCCGTCAGTTGACTGCATACATCGGATGGTGTCACCCTTCAGGTGGAGCATAACTTACGAAGTATGAGTTGGCAACTTGTTCTGCAGAAAGGGTGCTATCCAGTTGCCCAACTCCGCTCCAGGCCATACCTATTAAACCGATTTGCGACACTGCCCAAACCGGCTTCGATATGTTAGTCTAAAACGACTCAAAATCACTCCGCACTGCGCGCATAATCAGAACGTACAATAGTAGCAACCATGGCCCAGTCATCCGGTCCCCATGCTTTCCTCTGCGCACGAATCCAAAACCGCAAGATCATGGTGATGATGTCGAAAGGCAGCGGCACCAGGACGGCAGCGGCCATATCCTTCGACGTAGCCGCGCCCATCTTGTCGAAGTTGCGGGTTCGTGATCACTGAAGAACCTGCTTCGTGCTCCACGGGTTCGTTTCGAGGTGAGAGAAAGAGTGCCACAAATCGAACAGCGAAAAGAACAGTAAAGACTCGAACGACCCAGAAAACTTATAAGGGAATGCAAAGAACATAGAAAAAGCAAGCACGGATCTGACAATTACTTAATAGCGGCCCAACTTCTTCTGGCAACCAAAGCTCGCATAGGATCCACCGAACCCAGCCCCGGGATCACTGCCGTTGCGGCACTGTGGTCCTCCTTGCCACAAAGGGGCGCTGGGATGAGCATGGTAAGTGAATTCAACCCCCTTGCGAAGCTCAGACTGTCCAATTTCGAAATGATTCCGTCGGCAAAATGCTCGTGTTTCCTGTCCACTAATCAGGAACGATGATGTGCTTGTCAGTTGCCTCGCCCTGACAATAGATGTAGGAACACAACAGAGGCGGAGTTGGTTCCGAGATGGTTATTGGACTCTACTTGTGAATTCCCTCAATTGTACCATGGGTTCAGCAGAATATCTTCCCATCGAGAATGATGGAGAGGTTATGTTCGGTCTCTTTGGCGTTCTTCCTCCTGAAGTTTGCCCAGTACGCAAAGTTTAGGCGTGCCTTCCCAGCTTCCTAGCTTTCAAGGATTCTTTATGTGACATGTGATCACTGCTATCGTTTGAAGCTATCGACGCTCGGCCAAAGTCAAAAACGTGGATAGTATTGGCCGGCATTCTATCCAGCGTTACAGTCGATGCTTCGCGAGATCGGTGGTTTCCAACGACAACGAATATACACCATCCATGCATCGTCGCACTCATGCCACTGTCCCGAAACGTATGGCCCCCATCTTGAAGTAGATCGATGCCAAATTCGGCAGATCCCTTCCGAGCATCGGGGAGTTCTTCAAGAGTTTCCGGCGGTGTCAAGCTGCGAAGAATCTTGGCCTGACCCATAATAGTGGATTATTTTCTTCAACACGCTATGCATACTCGTGGAGACAGGAATCTCAGGAGTGTCCATAGTTTCCATAAATGCCCCTCTACAGTGCGCATACAATGGCCAGCATCAATGCAAGACCTGGTCGGCTAGGTAAAGAAATGCTAGATTGGCAAGCCATCATGAAAGCGATGAGCGCTACATTGGTCGTTGTGGATGTTGAAGCAGAAGACTGTCTCCTGGTTACACAGGATCAAGTAATATCAATGATTAAACCAACATACTTTGGGAATTGAGGGAATTTTTAACTGGCCCTGGACTTTCCCCCAAGGTGTTCATACTTCCGAGTTTCACGACTGGTTTATGCATATTGAGATCGGCAGAAGCCTTTGGTAGTTGACGTGTCTGCGTGGAGAGCCAAGATTCATGATCCTGCTCAGCCCCTAGTCGAGACTCCTCTTCGGATCCCACCCACCATGCGGCCCGGCGGCACTGACCAGTTGGCTAGTTCACGAAGTGGACATGCAAGCATCGGGATGAAGCAGCAGCAACAGGACACAATATATAAAGCACACAATTATCACGTGGAGAGAGGCATAATATTCTCCCCGCCTCCACGTCACATTGTTTATTCTGCTCTTCTGACATCTGAGAAAAATGGCTCCTTTCAGGGTTTTCGAGGGCAAGCTTGCCATTGTCACTGGTGCATCGCGAAGTACGTGGTTTTTTAAACTTTCCGGGTCTCTTCAAATAGGATCCTTTTCCATAGCAAGGATTCAACATTTGGCTTGAAATCACAGTGGACTGACTATTTATCAAGGCTTTGGCGCCGTTCTTGCTGAGCACTTTGCCAGCAGAGGTGCCAACGTTGTCATCAACTATGCCACCGAGGGCTCAACGTCAAAGGCTGAGGCCTTGGCCAAGGACTTTGAATCCAAGTACAACGTCAAGGCTCTCCCCGTCCGGGCTGACTTGAGCAAGCCCGAGGCGCCTCAGCAGCTTGTTGACGCCGCCAAGGCTCACTTCATCGATGCCAACGGCCGTTTCCAGATCGACATCATTGTCAATAACGCTGCCACGGTAAACGCTCAAGGCATTGACCAGCTGGACCTCGATCTTTTCGATGAAACATTCAATTTGAACTGCAAGGCACCCGCCCTCCTCGTCAAGGCCGCTTTCCCTTACTTGCCTACCGACCGCTCTGGTCGTATCGTCAATATCTCCAGTGCAACCACCACATGGGGTGTCTGGTGGCAAACATCATACGCTGGCACCAAGGGCGCTATCGAGGCGATGACCCGTGTCTGGGCACGTGAGTTGGCCGAAAGAGCGACCGTCAACGCCGTTGCTCCTGGACCTATGGACACTGGACTGTACTCTGGCCTGCCTGACGAGCCCCGTGAGGCTCTTCGCCCGTTAAACAACCTGACGCCTCTTGCCAAGGCTAGACCTGGTGTTGATAGCCAGGAGGTTCTCGACTTGGCGGCAAGCATTGGAGGTCGCCCCGGTTACTTGGAGGAAGTTGCTGGAGTTGTGGGAGTCGTTTGTTTGCCCGAGAGTGGGTGGATGACTGGTAACCTTGTGGGGGCCAGCGGAGGAGGTGCTTTTGTTCGTTAAGCGATGCCAATTACCTTGCATGTCGGATAAGCATTACTGGTGTTTGGAGCGATGATGTTCTCGTTTTAGCTCAGGCAGGTGAATGGATGAAGATCAACAATTACATGGGCGCAGATGAAGCGGCAGATCCCTCATATAAAAGCGCGCCAACGAACGAGGGAATAACGTTGGCAATGCGACAGTGCGTGGAGTTGCAATGGAGACAATTGTCGGAGAAACTGTCGTTTTCGGATCAGGTGCAAGCTATGCTTGTTCAATCAAGGGCATGGTATTGGTTTGTTGGATCGCCGACTTAGACGGATGGATTCCGTCCTTTCGTTTGGTTCCCTCACACATCGCTTAGATAGCAGCGCAGGGTTATCGAAACTCATTTCAGGCACCTGCTAAGATCTCAGGGGGTGCACTAGTAACTACCAACGATGCTACGGTCTCGGCGCCACCCGTCATGTTTAAGTTGACAGGGGATCATCAGGCGAGTCCGTGAACCCTACAGGAGCCCCATTGGAGGATTTGGCCCCCAGTCTGATAATCATCTTGCATGTCCGGATGAAGCAGCAGAAGTACGGATATCTCCTCGAAGCTTTGCAATCAATAGGGGGTCGGAACGTTTTTCTTTGGTATAGAGAAGGCATAGCTGTCGCAACTTGATCGCTAAAAAGGCGGACAAATGTGCTTCAGCAAAGCACTGCTTCTCACGACGACCTCATGGACCCTGGTTGCGTGTATGTACATGCCCCCCTGGCTTTTAAATATGTCTCAAGTTGTGTCTAGGCAGCTGTGGTAGCCCTTGTTTCTGCTCAAAAGGCCTGCAACAGACAAAAGGATTTTTGGAAAGGCAATGATTTTCTCGACATGGTGAATTAACAAATATGCTTATGGTGTGACTCGATGACATAGAGTTGATGTTATTACCGCCAGGCAACTTACTTACTCTCTAGCACGGGAGCCCGAGGTCTGATGGTCCCTTTTAAGGACTTGGCTCTCGTGAAGGGAATGGAAACGAAGGCAACCAAAGCTGGCAGCGAGTCTTGATCATTCGGTGGCCTCTTTCTTTCTGGGAGTTCAATGTCAACGCAACATGTTTCCGAATAGAACTCCCCATGGTCCACTGCTTGATCTACGCATCATTACGTGCTAGAGTCATGAGTATATCTTTGGGGCTAGGCGTGAAATGGCAAAGTTTGTTACAATTTGACGTTCATAGTCACCGTTACGAATTTGTTTTCGCGACAAAATGCTTCCAGAGTAAGCTAGAGCTCGGGAGTAGTACGGGCAGAGCATAAGGTCTGTGAAGTAACTCTCAGCTGAGCAGTATTATGGGTTGCGTTGTCATTCCCCGCCCATACCCATGAAGCTCAATCACAGTACACTCGGAGAGTCACATTCCCAGATGCAAGGGGTATTTCAACCATCAATCAGTCTTGATTATTTGCGAAGCCATGATCGAGATCATGAGATTGATCTAACATGAATCTGAGAGGTCAAAAGAAGGGCTTTTTGGTACTTAGTAGTCTCCCAATCAACACGTTCTTCGCCGATACTTATCTCACCATTGTGATAACTCACATTTTCCAATAGGTTCGAATGCAATTGAGCCTCATTCGTGACCCGATTTCAACTGTTTTCACAGTGCGTGGGCAGAGAATGAGTATTATGCATGCCACGATTGCAAAGAACCTCTGAATCCTACCGACGCCGAAGGCTCGGAGGCCTCCGCCCAAAAGTTGAGATTCATTGCATCATGGCCAAATTCCTCGACGCGTATGGATTGCCGAGGGGAGTATCTAGCGTTTGGTCAAATTGAGAAAGGTCTTGTCAAACATGAATTACAGCAGGGTGTTCACCTTTAGTACAAGGCTTATGAGACGTCTGACTAGTTGCAAGGTCGATGCCGCGATGGGGTTCTAGTGTTGATGATGTCACATTGAAATAGAATATAGACTATTTCTGTCGTTTTTATCATACACGGTGCTCAATTGAATGTTTTACCTACCTATCTCACGCGATGATTTGAAAGTACTCATACTGCTCTGCACAACGATTATATTAACGCAACGAGAGATTCCAAGGCAGTCAAGTGACCGCGACAACTTGATGCAACAGTTATATCACTCTTAAAACCAAATGAAGGCTCAAATTTATTTGAACGCCACGAGTGAAATGAAGCGCTGAGTTTGCCCTTGCACAGCGACGCCAGCGTCTGTTCCAATTCTCTGAAGCGAAAGAGTGGACTGCCAAACACCTGTGCCCAAATGCTTATCAACAGGGATTCGGAAGATCAATAGCACAAGCACATGGTAGATATATTGCATTGTATGGATGATTTCCTGAGGCAGTCAGTTTCGGTTTTGAATCATATGTTGTGTCCTTGAGGTTTGCTACGTTCACATAAGTAATAGCCTCTCTTATGGAGCACGTTTGGACTCAGAAAATGAATCCCTCACATCTGGCCCACATGCTGAGAACTTATTTAATTGACCAATCTAGGAGGAGTATTATTACATGTGTGAAATTTGAAGTGCTGAGTATGATTCATCCTGAGTTGGAGCTCTTTGAGAAAATTACCTTCATACTAGTGATTCTTGTAACGGCGTATCTAATGTTTCGGAAAGGTAGCAGGCTCTATAAAGATATTACATTGCACGAATTCCTGGTGCATATGTTAGCCTAATAACTCAGATACTGATGAAATACCTGATACTTCAAGTATGCATATAATCGCAGCCGTGGTAGTCAACTGAGTAGCCATCGTACCCAACAATCAATTCATGAATCACAACCAATTCCAAATTACTCTCAGTTTCGCTTTAGTAATATGTAATATTTGACGTTTAATCTGAATCTGCTATTTCTTTCCTGATTGATAGTTTAGAAGAAGGTGGTCTTCCTACTTTTCAAGTGTCGTAGGGTATTTTCCTGCAAGCATTGAAGCAACTCTATGCCTCGGAAGTCAGGCGGTCAGAGAACTAGTACTTCTTAAACTTACTCGAAAGGGGTAAAAGAATTCGAAACCGTTCCAGGTACAGGCCCATGCTCGCTAGCGGCTCAAGTTTAACGTTCACGACCTATAAGCCAAATAAGTCCAGTAGCAATGGTCTCGAGTTCGCTCAAGGCCACAAACGGTGTATCCACCCACCATTCTCACGAACATTGAGCTCTTAAGCCGCCCTGATCGGCACCTTCCCCGGATTGTCTCCGTATCAAGTTTAACTTTTCTGAAGTGGAGGGAGATCATAAACGTCCGGTGACTCGGTTAGGCGTGCATTCGGCCGGATTCCTATGGCGTGCTGCCAAGGCCCCGCCAGTCGCTTCCCTGCTCCCGCATCGGAGGCTGCGGCCCATGCCGCCCGCTCTCAGCCTCAATCTCTTGGCTCGGGGAATATTCCGGCTGATAGAGGATCAGCAATCTGGGTAGTTGGTAAAGCGCAGATTGTTCTAGCCGATCTTCAAGTAACGTTCATTGCGATCAAATAATTGTCAAACATGGTAAACTCTTCCCATAAAAGCTAGACAATTTCGGCAAACCCGACAGAGAGACCAGGGTGCCGAAGAGGTCTTTGAGTCTCCAAGAATTCCGGAATTTTGTTAGTAATCCTAGATGAACTGTACTTGGGAGCCGCTTCTTGCAACGTTATACACTTCTGATTCATCGCGATATGTAGCAACAGCGAAGAATAACTCAATTCCCACAAAAATGGCCGGAAATCGGAGAAAGCAAGCCACAAAATAGGCCTGAGAGGTGAGCAGACCCATCGCACGTGCGATCCAGGGGCGATCCTCCTTAGCCCCAAAGACGTTTCCGCCTGGGCAGATTTCCTCAAGCATCCAGACCTTAAATTCGCTTTGAACTGTCTGGCTCAGTACGGAGCACAATTTTCCTATCATTCTTCGCGCGTGGCTTTGCTTTCCTAAGGTCCACTAGACACGTGTTTCTGATTAGGTTGCCTTCGAGCCTCAATGCAATGAGATTTGAACCTCGACCCACTCGTGGAGACTGGAGAAAATTTTGCAAGGTCTGGTAAACAAGACAGAAACTGCCAAAGCAAGCGAGAGTGAGAGCTTCGAAAGTCCCTCGCATATAAGAATGCGCATCCCGTCGCAGAGTGTCACAAAAGAGCCGTGCATTTGACACACCCGAATGTTGCCTGATAAGTATGCGTGATGTCAGCAGAGATAGTGGGAAGGTGATACTGGTGTATGCTCATGTTGGCTCAATCTACCAAATGCGGTCGAACTAACGCCCGGCTCAACGGCAAGAAAGCAAGACAGACAACGCACAGCTGCAAATCATTTCCAACGAGGGAAGGTTACAGAAGATGTCCGTTGACAAACGATCCGGTTCCTGCAGCTAGCGGTAGCTTCCTCAGCAGCTGCATGATTCAGTCTTATCCGTAGACTATCGTTTGCGGAGTAACGTTGTAGAACCCCCAAACCCCAGATTCAAGGCCCTTTTGTTGATGGACCTCGGTATGGGCAGCATGAACTAATATCATCAATAAGGTCAAAGGCCAATAGGAAAGCCATATTTATGACCGCTTTATTCCCCTTAACCTCGCTTGGCGCCACCCGTTCGGGCCTTTTGCCAAGAGGGCCACTTATTTTCTCGTATGTCGACCGATGTGTCCGTTATTATCAATCAAAAAGATCGGCTCACTCGGCCGAGTGGAGTCCGGCAGGTGGTTCGGCCATCGGCTTGTGGCGTGTGGTTGCAAAAGTTCCTGGGGCGACGTTCCCGACTCGGGCAAGACTTTTCTAGTGGAAACAGAAGACATCGAAACATGGGCCGCGGGCGGCGAACACCTCGGAGTCGTCCGACACCGAGGGTAAGGGCATGCATCTAGTGGTGATACTAATGTGTCTCCATTGCTCCCCACCAGGCCTGGCTTTTGGAACTTTTCTCGAAAATTTCTTCCTCTTCTCCCTCTCTTTTCCTTTTCCCTTGGTTCAGCTACTCTATCGGGCCTGTCTTGAGATATCGATTGCGTAAAAATGGCCCAGAACCACGAGGACACGGCCGCAGAGTACGTAACAATGCGCATATCGTCGGTCTAACATCAAGAGGATCTGGCACTGACAACTCGTATTCGCAGGCTCCATGAGACGTTGGGTGAGCGCTTGCCCAACAAGGAGACGACTGATCTTGCGGGAGGCTACATCACGCCAGCCGACCCCGAGAAGAAGTTCTCAAGCACCGCCGACTCAGAATCGGGACCTACGCCTGATGGTGCTGAACCCAATGAGTTTGAGAAGGGATCCCTGCGTCGTGTTGGAGAGAACCTCCCCGCTTCAGCCTTCCTCATTGCTGTTGTCGAGCTCACGGAGCGATTCACCTACTATGGTGCCCAGGGTCTCTTCCAAAACTACATCAACAATGACCCCAATGGAGCCGACGGCCCCAAGGGTCTTGGGATGGGTCACCAGGCCGCAACTGGTCTGAACTTGTTCTTCCAATGGTTCTGCTATGGTATGACATCACTATCCGCTTCACTCTCTACTATCGATCAGTATGGTTTCACTAACACAAGTGCTCAGTGACTCCAATTCTTGGTGCCATCATTGCTGACCAGTACTTGGGCAAGTACAAGACCATCTTGGTCTTCTGTGCCTTCTACGGGGTTGGTCTTGTCATCCTTTGGACGACTTCCTTGCCAGCGGCCATGGCCAATGGCGCTGGCATCCCCGGTTACATTGTTGCCATTATCGTTATTGGTCTCGGAACGGGAGGTATCAAGAGTAACATCGCTCCCTTGATCGCCGATCAGTACCAGCGTCGCGTTATGGCTATCAAGACGGAGTCAAACGGCGAGAGAGTCATCATCGATCCTGCCATCACATACCAGCGCATCTACATGATCTTTTATTGGTGCATCAACCTGGGTTCTCTGTCTCTCATGGCAACTCCCTTCATGGAGAAGTACAAGGGTTTTTGGACCGCCTACCTGATGTGTTTCTGCGTCTTCAACATTGGTATCGCAACATTGGTGCTTCGTCGCAAGACTTTCGTCAACCGCCCGCCGCAGGGATCCGTCATTACCGATGCGTTCAAGGCCCTTGGCATGATGATTGCAGCCCGCAACATGGATGCCGCGAAGCCATCATGGCGTGCGGAGCACGGCAAGGAGAAGCCTGTCCCCTGGAACGACCACTTCGTCGAGGAGCTCAAGCGTGCTCTGAGAGCCTGCAAGGTCTTTGTCTTCTGTAAGTCCATATATTCCTGGCCATGTCTGGTACAAGCCAGATGATTTAAGGCCGCGCTGACATGATTACTAGACCCTATCTTCTGGGTTTGTTATGGCCAGTTCTCGACCAACTTCGTCACTCAAGCTGGACAGATGGAGGGACATGGTATGCCGAACGATTTCATGCAAAACTTCGACCCCATTTCGATTCTCATCTTCACCCCGATCCTCGAGAAGATCGTCTACCCGCTCCTCCGCAAGGCTGGCATAGAGCTTAAGCCCATCATGCGTATCACCATCGGTTTCTGGCTCGGCGCCATCTGCCTGGCCTACGCAGCAATCGTGCAACACCTCATCTACAGCGCCGGCCCCTGCTACGAGTCTCCCGGCGAGTGCCCCGAAGGAATGAGCGGAGGCTCATCGCTCCCTAACCACGTCCACATTGCTGTTCAGACGCCTGCCTATATCTTCATCGGCTTGTCCGAGATCTTCATCTCCGTCACCGGTCTCGAGTACGCTTACACCAAGGCCCCGCCCAACATGAAGTCCTTTGTCCAGAGTATCTACCTCTTCACCAACGCCTTCGGCTCTGCCATCTCCGAGGCCCTAGTGTCCGTCGCAGTCGACCCCAAGTTCTTGTGGATGTACACCGGTGCTGCATGCTCATCTGCCGTGGTGGGATGCATCTTCTACTTCACCTTCCGCCACTACGATGCTGAGGAGGACAAGATGTATGAGTTGGACCGCGATCAGCCGGTTCTGAACAACCAGGGAGTCAAGGAAGCCGAACATGACGATTAATGTCTATATACAAAGAAGAACGGGCGGTAATTGTTACAAGCGTGACGTTGTCACTCTTTCAGCAGTGAGAGACGGTCATGTGGATTGCTCATGTATTGATATTATGAAAAATCAAGATGTATGATGATGGGTGAGCATGGTTTGAGCAACCATGAACAGTATATAAGCTTAATAGAATACCCCAATACCTACAGAGTACCTATGTCCAAAGCATTAGACTTGGAGACCTGATCGATGTCTTGAAGCTTTGTGCACCAAAGAGAAGGGAATGGGTCGCTCGGCTTCGGGCCTTCGGCTTGCGAAAATTACCTTTGGGAATCATGAAGCTCTGACTGAGTTGGGCTTAGCCGACTGCGAGTTCGAGGTCATGTAATAAGCAAATTACATGAAAGTATAGAAGCCTCACGCTGTTACAACAAAAAAGCTAAGTACTTACTAGTTGGATGCCTATCTCAACCTGAGTCCTGTGAGAAGTTGGATACATTGAACAGAAGAATCTGCCTATCTCCGCGGTCCTAGCATTACTCGAATATGGCTAGGTAATTCGATAGGTTTCATCATCTGAAGAAATGGTCCTTTGACCGTCTGTCTTGTTTGACGTCACGTTAGGGAGATGATGGTGATGAATTGACTTTGATGACATCATGACATCAATCACCTCACTACCTCAACTGTGGCTTGCCCAGCACCATCTTAAAGGTCTCGGATGGCCTCTCGATTCTAATACATATTGGTTCCTCGTATGTTTTTACTTCTGTCAGGAAACATTCACGCTCACACGTACTCCTAGCATATTTAAAACCATAAAAATTCTCCCTGACACATTCTATATCATGGCAGACGCAAAGCAAGGAGGCGATCTTTACGATATGGCTAAGGACGGAACCAGAGGTTTTCAGCATCTTATGTAGTGCCATGGAATCTCGCTAATTGTTGGTCGCAGTTCCTGGAGATGCTGGCAAGCAAAACATCATAAAGTCTGTTCCCAACCCGCACCAGCAGGAATCAGCTGCTGGTGGGCTTGGGTCTACAACTTTGCACGGCGCCGCAGACAACGCATTGAACACCAACGAGGGAAGAGCGTCCGGAGTGGGCGAGGGAATCAGTGCTACCGGTCACGAGATTCCTCAGTCGGTGACGGGCAAGCCTGGAGGCCGAGGGGGGACGCAAAGCTCTGAGGATGTCAGGGCTGCAACGGGTGCGTTTTACACAAAGGGGGGCCGGTCGAAGGATGATGAGTAAAGGAACAAGGAGTCTTCGATTTGTCACATTGTGTAGATGAACCCGGCGAGTACATTAAGACGCAATACATTGTGCCTTACTTCCAGGTGGTCACCCGCAACCAAGTACAGACTATCTATATGTAAGGTAGGTAAGATGAACTAGACTCAACGACACGGTTGTGTCGGGATATAACCATCTTGGACAGACCTAAAGTAAACAATCCCACTCTTCCGTTACCAAGATGCAAATCCGGAGCTGTCCAACAACTACAAAACGGCAAAATGAAAGGGACGAGACTCGAACTCGCGCGGGTTGCCCCACCAGGAAACAGATGTTAAGCTGACCTTAACCTGGCGCCATAACCAACTCGGCCACCCTTCCGTGATTTGGTGAATGTGAAGGATTGAGGAAATTAGGAATATGGAGGTTGACGAGTTAGGGCTTCGGAGATTGGGTCTGCAGATTCGAGACACCCGCCGTAGTGGGGCTGATGATGGACCGCACATAAGTGCTTCATCGGGCATGCCATATTCATGACAGCGGGGGTTTGAGATGCATGGTCATAGTAATAGCAAGTGTCGATCGGCTTTAAAATCAGACGTTTGGACTAGCAAGATCCATTACGAGAGTAGACACATGCACTTACGATCATATGCCTGCAATTCTGTGTACTTGTATTGGTTGATATCAACAATAACCACGTGGAGAGAGTACGGGTGATCATGACGCACTTCTCAAATACAGAACGACTTGTAATTCGGTAAGGCTTAACGACTAAATAAGTGCGTGGTTCCGTGCCATCGGCCTATCATGCTTAGGCTACAATTCGGCTCCCTTGCTTTGGACGATTACCAATTACCTGATACGGTGGCACTTTTTGGCCTCGTAGAATCTGCAGGCTCTACCATTCTGAGTTTGAAGGACAGCTCAGACCGAGTTGTTATTATGCTGACTATTTGGCGTGAAAGGTGTGCCAAAAAGTCGTTCGTATGTAGGATTCTTCTTCTTCTACCGAGACATGGGCTTCCATCGAGCCCTCTGTCACCCGCTCCCGTAGCGGCATCATGCCTGATGAGAAGGACGAATACCGAGTACGTATCAGAGAATAAGACCACGGTAGACCGTACAATATGTACCACCAGCTTCTTTGACCTTTAAAGGTTGGTCAAGTCCAAGCTGTGCTAGATGGACCCCAGGGGAATCAACATGGTCCTCATTCAAAATTGTTCCAACCTGAATTCAATGTCTACCCATCATGCCCATATGTACAAAACAGAGCCCATGTTCAGCTGCCAACACCGCACCACACAACGAACCCCCATCTTCACTCGGGCTTCCTCCCCCTAGCCAACAAAACAGTCCTCTCAACCTCAAACGGCCGCCCCTGATACTTCTCCTCCATGAACGCCCTCAACGTCGGCATCAACCGCCCCTTCAACCCCTCCCTCTGCGCCTTCGTCCAGAACCTCTCCATGACCCCGTGCATAAACGCCTGGAAAACCGTACACCACTCATCAACCCCGGAGAACGGTACCCATCTAGTCACGACGTCCACCTCCACGTCCACGAATCCGGCCGCGGTGAACATGCTCTTGACAAACGAGGGGGACTCCCACGCGCCGGGGCCCCAGAGCGAGGTCAGCTCGATGGAGGATTGGGGCCAGGATACGGGGGGTTGGCCTGGCAGGGCGAGGTTGCGTACTGCGTCGCGGGTGTCGGAGATCCAGCCTTCTGTTACCCAGGTTGAGGTCGCGAGTGTGCCGCCGGGTTTGGTGACGCGGTAGCATTCTGTTTGACGCGTTAGCCTGCCGACTAGAGCCGGTTCGCGTGATCGGGGAGAGTTTACCATTGAGAGAGGTGTATGGATCGGCCACGAGCATCAGCGCCATGGCGACGATAACGACGTCGAACTGGTCAGGGGGGAACGACATATTCTGCTCCCGTCAGCCACATTCTTCCCGTACCATCACACCGGTGACAGGGACAAGAATCATCGCCTACCATGATATCAACCTGCCTAACCTCACACCCAACCCACCCCTCCCTCCCAATCTTCTCCTTCACAACCCCCAACTGCGCCTCACTCGAGTCCGCGCTCGTTAACCGCACCCTCTCCCTCTGCTGCCCAGGCAACTCCCGCATCATCTTTTGTATATGCGACGACACGACCCCGGTACCGCAGCACATATCCATGACCTGGATCGTCTTCGTGCAGGCCGACGCCGAGGACACGGTCTGGCATAGCTGCGAGTGGTCGACGAGGCAGGGGGTCACGGGGGAGGTGAGGTGCTCCGCGTGGCGGTAGATATTGCCGGCCTCTGGGTTGCGCCAGAATTCGACGAGGTTGGCTTTGTCGCCTGAGTCGTTTAGGGACTTTGAGGACGCGGCGGCGGCGGTTGTGCCTGGGCCGGCAATGATGGGCTTTTTCTTGGTGAGTTCGGGGCTCAGGTGCAGGGGAGCCGGGTTGCTGATGAGAGATGACATCTTGGCTCTGTTGACTGTCTCGAGAATAGTTCGAGCTGGCGAAGGGTAGGCTGGATGATGAGTGACGTTGGGGGAATGCGCGTGCTAGGAGGTATCTGGTCTGTCCGGCGATCTAGACGGAAGTCTTTATGCCTTTTTATTTTGGAACAAGCTTACCCAGTAAATAGCGAGAGAAGAAGACCGCACAGCTCTTTATACAAAATTATCCGCTCTCAAGCTAAGCTCCTCGAGCTTCGGAACCAACTCCTTCGGGGCCCCTGCTGCAAATGCCGAAGCATGCGATAGGCTCAGTTGACAGACAACCCTCTATTCTAACAAATTGGGGGAATCCTAAATTTCGATCCTATTCTTGAAATTGCCCTCCTGGAAACAAGGTAAGGTAGTCAAACACCGCGAGGCGCCTGGTAACATCCCGTGCCGGATACCCATGCCGAACGGTAGGTTAGGGCGGTGTGCAGTCCAGCCGGCGATGTCATCAAAACTCTCCCTCAGCCAAGGTTCGAGAAAGGTGTGAAGGGGGAAGCGGCGGTATTGAGATCAAGTCAAAAAGACGCACAAAGGGGAGTCACGTTTCTTTGTTAGGCGAGTTCTGAAGAAAAGCTTCAGAGGCTTGTGGTTGCCAGCCACTTTCAAGGTTTATACCGACCGCTCGGATGCTTCATGTTTTCTCTCTCTCTTGGGGAATACTCTACACCACCACTCATGCACCTCCTTTATAGGTGTTTAATCCTATCGATGAGTATTAGTAGGTTGGGCTCATCGCTGCATATTCCTCGGTTTGAAAGGTGCTGTTTCACTGGCCTCCATCACACCGACTTATCTCTTTTCTACCGTACTATACCTACCGACAGCGACACGGAACGATAGACCTACTATCGCAATCCAATAACTCACAAGAGCAGGCGAGAGAAGGAAATCACTGGTCTTCTCATCCAATACTTCACCCCACCTTGACAACCCAATACTTCTACAACAGAGCTACCCAAACCTTCAACATCAACTTACCTCGGGAGCCCCCAAGAACTCACCAGTCAAGAGACCCAAGCTTTCTCAGAACTCTTAGACCGCACCTCTCCAAGAACTCTATATATCCATACCGTCCCGCGGGCAGCGGACAAAGCAACCACAAAAAGGCCCACGTAAAACGCAAAATCACGTACACACCACCACCACGAACCCCCAACATCCCACATCCTACACACCTACACGAGATTCCACGACGACACCACAATCTTCATGTCACCTTAACACGTCAGATAGCCTCGTCCATGTTGTCTCTCAAACGAACCTCCGTAGCTCTCCTCCGCCCCTCATGCATGCCACCAGCCTCAACGGCGGCTCAGAGTCCGCCTCAGGCTCCGACGGAGTTTTCTCCTAGGTCGCCGACGGGGTGTTAGAGGACCGGCCGCGGCCGCCGAAAATAGCATGCCGTCCCATTCTGGCGTACGTGGTGTCCTGTGCTCTGTTATCATCTTTGACTTCTCGGATCTCCATTAACTCAATTCCTCGTACTCGTGTGGCCTACGCCGGATCCTTCTCATCAAACTCGAAATCAAGGACCACTGGTTGCTCAGGGGCTGTGGCCAAACTCTCGCGGATCCAGCCAACTGGAACGCAGGTCGAACGGCCCGTTGCATAGTGAACCACAAATGTCAACTCATAAACATTCCATTACTTCATATCGTATCCCAGTACGTGCGTAAATGTACAATGCTCATTTAAGATATAACTCAGCCGCCCCACCAGGGCGTGTCAGTCCGTCCAGGACTGCTGTCTATTTCAACTCCCATCATCTATAGAGCGCCTTGGTCGTGCCCCTATTTGCCCTGTGCTGCCCTCAGGGCGTCCACTTCTCGTTGTAGAGCATCCAGGTCGGCGAGAATATCCGCACCCTTGCCTGACTTAGCTGCGTCGTACTCTTGCTGTGCATCATCCTCGGCGGTGGGCTCTTCTGGAACGTTGCTGCCCATGGCCCTAGTGCTATCGATGCTCGTCCTCCTCATACCATATCCGTCCATGCTTCCGCGACTACTGCCCCTCTGGCGTGGTGGTGGTGGTGGTGGGGGGGGAGCATTCTCCTTGCCTCCACTGATCTTCCTGCTGGGGGCTTCAATGCTCCTTACGCTGGGAGGCCGGCGTATGGAAGTATTCCGTGCCGGTGGTGGTGGCGGAGGTGAAGTTTTGGGAGGAGTATGCTCCGTAGCATGAATAGAAGTGTCGATATCAGATGGTGCTGGGCTGGCACCGTAAAATGAACCACTTGACGGCGACGCTAGTTGGAATGATTGTCGATGGGATGCATGCGGGCGCCGAGGTGGAGGCGGAGCCGGAGCATTGATGCTTCGGAAACTTTCTGATCTGGAGCGCTGCGATTCCAACGAAGAGCGAGGCGGCGTGTCGGCCTCGTAACTTGGTACACTCGGAGCGTTGACCCCAGCATTGGCTGTCAAGGACTGGCTCCGTGCGTGACCCCGCCGTGGTGGAGGGGCAGGTGTCGGTCTCTTGCCTGTCGCCGGAAGAGCCGGGGTAGGTATTGAGCTGGGTGTGGGGGAGTCCTGCTCCGGGACTTTGCCAGCAGCTTCACGGGCAAAAACATCTTCCGTGTCATCCCCGCCGTGACTGCTTGGGGCGGGCGGAAGGGGCTTGTTCACGTCAGACGGAGAGATGGGCGACGCGGTCTCGGAGGAGATGTGCGGACGACCTGAAGTCTGCACGCTAATCTTCCTACCATGCCTTGAGCTAGGCGGCGGAGGCTTCTTCTTCACGGATGGAGAATGTGCCAGAAGAGAACGTTGGTCGTCAACGCCGCGATCCGCCATATCTTGTGACGTCCGCGGTATTTCAGGCTCAGGTGCGGCGTGTGATGCACCGGGCGCCTTGTCTCCCTGTGACACTGATGTCTGCGGGGGCGGTGTTCCAGCACCAGCCTGGCCAGTGAGCAACAGCATCTTGAAGGCGTTGACATCCATGGCTTTGGTCGATCCGCCAGATGAAGGCTTCACGTCCGTCAAGCCTTCCAGATCTTGTAGCGTCTTGCCAAAGGGATTGTCGGGGGTATTACTCGCGTTGGCAATGCGAAGCGGCGCAGCCTCGGGGAGGCCACCGGGAAGCTCGGGAAACCGCTTTGAGAATTGGTCGTCTTCGTCGTGGGAGTCTTCGTCGCTGCTGTCGTTCTGGCGTCCGAAGCCCCTGCTGTGTACGGATTCTGGGGACGAGGGAGACGACGGTGGCGGCGAAAGGACCCTAACCTTTTTCACGACCTTTGGCTTGGCCGGCCGGGCCTCGGGGGGTGGGGGGCCATTCTGCCTCGAGATGCCGGAAGTGATGGACTCGAGAAAGGCCGATGTAGAGACTGGCTGGGGCGTAGAGATGGAGAGCGAGGTGGAAGCAGACTTCCTTCGAAAGGGATTGTGTTCGGAGGCCATGTTTGCGACGGGCAAAGGCTCGGAATAGGCGGGTTTATCTTGTAACGTGCAATCCTGTCGAGGGAGGGTTTAGGCAGCCGCCATGGCCAGGTCCCGGCAGAGCGAGACGCGGACAATGTCGTAATCGCCGGGTGGAAGCTGTCGATGTATAGTGGTGTGGCGAAGAAGAAGACGACGACGACGACGACCTCTACAACTACGACGAAGTTTCGATAGGCGGTTCGAATTCGTTGAGTTTCGACTGAGGATAGACAGGCTGGGCAGGCGGAGGGTCTCGGATGGATCGCTGGGCAGATCGAGGGGTAGGGGTTATTGGTGGTCAGGTACTGGTTGGTACTGTTACTGGTACGGGGTACGGGGTGCGGCCACGGGTACTGCGGGCGAGCGTCAGTTTCGTTGACCGGAAGAATCGGTTGGCAAGCACTTGAGTCGCAAGGGACGGTGGAAGGGCGGACTGATTGGGTTCGGGTTCGGGATGACGGACAGCCCAATGGGGAAAACGAGGGGTCCACGTTCTGGTGCTTACCAAGTCGCCGAGGGATGCTGTTGGGTTGAGAATGAGCAGCAGTTATGGATGAGGATGTGCTGATAAGTGCTGGTAGATACGATGAGAGTAGACAAGCTAAAGTACGAGGGTAATATTGGTAGACGTAGCAGTACGGCACGGCGTGGGGAGAGAAGTGGTGTCTGTCCGTAGTGGCAGTGCTGGTGCTGGTGCTGGCGGATAGATGTTGGGTTTGAACTGGACTGGACGTGTCGGGGAACGGAGGAGTTGGTGGATGATGAGATGAGATTGGACAGAAACAAGACGTCAGTCCGAGGGGACGGTACGGTGCGATTCGATAGAATGCGGGAGCGGATAAGACAAGCGCCAGGGGGGCTTTATCTGCTTATCGATGATCGCAAAGTAGGTAAGGTACCTTGCTATCGATGGAAGTTATCGAAGAGTGAGGTGGGTTGTGTTCAGTGTGTGGTAATTGACGACACTTTTGATGGAGGCCGATGGAACCTGGCGGCGGGCGGTAAGTACCTAATTGCCTACGTATGTACTCCATAAGACTGTACATAAGTATTCGCAAATGGCAGGGGAAATGATGAAGAAGAGGAGCCCGTTTGGTGTCGTCCTGTCCCGTTTAGATCGCCCGAGTCCAGGTAAGGCCGGTTGGTTGTTTCCACCTCAGCCCGGTACCTCTGTTACACAGTAATGACAGGTGCAGGTACCTAAGCTGATAGGGAGTGACAGGTACTTGCTCATAGGCAGAGGGTGAGGGGGAGAACAAGTTCCAGACGTGCAGCTCTGCTGTTCCAGCCAAGGCAACTGCAGATGCAAGCTCTGTCCCCTAAGGTGTTGCCTCGAGAGTCGAGCCTGGTGGATCAGGAGAATGACTGAGGCTGACGCAAGTACTTCGCAGTAGGAGGCAGGCAGAAAGAGAGAAGGCGATGTTCGATGTTCCTCCTCATATCTTGCCCTTCCTTCCTGTCAGCACCATCGAGGAAAGAGCATCTGCCATCAACTAGTACCCAAGGGAAGGTATCGTTAAAGAAAGGTACAAGCAACATGTATGCTGCCAAGTACTCCGTACCCGGCACCGTAGGTAGCTGGCCTCAGCACCTTACACTCTCCCCCACATACCCCGAAACGGACGGGAGGATGGATGCGCACGAGCCAGATCATGCTCTCTCTCTCTTTCACTAACTCACTCATTCCTTCACCAATGCTCTCTCACTCATACAGAGGCTTACTTACCACTCACATTTCATAGCTCACAGACGCATGATCTTATGCCTCACGGTGACCTGTGTTTCTTGGGTTGTGTTCGCATCTCACTCCCCGTTCTTCAGACCCTTCCCTCAGTATCAAGGGTCACTCTTTGCAAAGACCTGAATGTGCCGCCTCACTCTTCATGGCAAGGACAACCATCAACCCTCCTCCATAGTCCCCGTACGTGACTGCACTCGTACGACGGCCGTGACGGGACCCTTCAACGCTCAGATCACATTCCCTTCAATCCTCGACATGCCGGGGCGTCGCCGCGTCGCCCCCAACTGTACGGTTGCCCCCTGCACCTGTCGCTCAAGCCGTTCCGGATTGACAACAGGGATCCTGGGACATGGATCAAGACTGCTGTGTGCGGAGTACAGAGTCACGGAGTGTAAGTGTACGGATCAACAGGTGAGGGCATATACCACACCGGCACCCAAGTTGTCTGAGATACTCTAGCAGTGCTTAGCCAGATGCTTATACGGATAGTCCGAATCTCATACTTACAGCTCCCAGGTTGTCTCTTGTCTCCTCGCCTCTGCCCCTCCCCTCCCTGCTTACCTCACCGCGATGCGCATCCACGGTGTACGTACACCTTCACTGCGTGCTGAGCACCAAGTTGCCCAACGTTCCCCCCTCAAAACATCTAGGTTTGTTTCAGGAACACCAATGGGAAAGCAAGCTCGGGGCTAGCTATCCACGTCACTCCTTGCCATCCAACCTGGGAAGTCACCGTAGGTCCACTGATGACTGGACACCTGCAACGTGCACCGCACCGCACCGCACCGCACCGCACTGCTCTGCACCACTTGCTCACGCGCTGGCAGCCCGGACCTCATGCCGAGCGACATCTCCGGTACACCTGTCTCAAGGTTCTTTCCCTCACACCTCACTGCACCGCACGATACGCAACATGTGTTCGTACCTGCACCAACATCGGCAAGGTGACAACTCCTAGACACAGAGACAGCAGAAGAGACAGCGGGAGATGGACACAGAGAGGGGCCAGCGGAAGAGCCGCGGCCAACTTCTCCGCCTCTGTTCGCCGTCCCAGAGGAAGCTCCGAGCTCGACATTTGACGCCGTTACAACTGCCCGTGACGCTGTCCCTTCCACCTCTTCTTCTTCTCAGTCTCCTCTCTCCCCCAGGCGTTTCCCCGCACCGCCACCTCTCAGACTCCTCCATCCCTCTGGCCTATCCTACTCCTGCGTAGACACTGGGAACGACGCTGTCAAACACTCCACCGGCACTCTTCACCGTTGCCCGCGTGATAATCTCTACCCAGCACGTCCGGGCCTCCTTTTCACAGGACTCACTTATCTATCCACAGTGTCCTGCTATACACTCGATTATACGAATCACTGACCGTCGATGGGACTCACTATTTGGCTAGCTATCTGCAAAGAAGAGCAAGTAACGAACACCAAGACCAGCTGTGCTCTCCTACACAGCATACCTACCTTAGTGAGCACCACTCCTCACCTCAGGATCAACAACCAGCACATACTGTGGCACCATCTCCTCCTCATCGCACGTGTCAACCCGTCTAGGCCGTCCATCCCCGTATCCTCTCCTAACTCAAAATACGCTGAATGACCGCCCGACACGCCTACATGGTACGTAAGACGGGCACGTAGGCTGGCCCAAATCCGAAAAGCTGGTCAAACAAATCCTTACTCACGACTCAAACCATGGACAATCTACATGAGGGAAAAGCTCAGCGGCGAAACATCTCTTCTCCGAGGACTACGGTCACTCATACTTTCTCATCTTCTTACCTCTTTCGCACTTCAGAATCGCAGATAGCGATACAAGACAAATCTCCTTGGAATGCCTTTCGTAGAGAACCGCATAGCTCGACGGGACTATTCTATGCCAGACTGTAGGACCATCACCGGCGACGGGCGCGCCTCGTCTCAGACCAAGTCACGTCCGGTCCCAGAGTCAGACCACTAAGAAAACGTCTCACCCACTGTATTGTGACTATAAGCCAGAGAAGGGGTAAGGTACAGGGTCAACTCGGAACATCAGTCAGGAACCACAATGCCGCCCAAAATCGCTACAGCTGGAATAATACCACATATCCAAACATGTTTACCCAGCTATAGATCGATCTGTAAATCTGTAATCCACAGCAAACCATCCAGAAAAGACGAAGAAGCATCTTCCTCCGCGCTGCCAGCCCATAAGAGATGAGAGAGCGCGCACGTGACAACTTCACCAACGGCACGGACTCTGTTCAGCTCTCAAGCCTCTCACGTTCCCCCGTATCCAAGCCAAGCTAGCCTTCCCTCGCAGCCTTATCTATTCCTACTTCTTTCCTCTCCAGCGACGCGGTGGCCCGTCCGGCGGTTACATCAACACACGGAACCGGAGGAAGAGAAAAGGTCAGAGGACGGGACGGGCTTGAAAAAAGTCCATAAATGTAAACAAGAAAAAAAAAAAGACCCTGGGAAGGATGAACCGCGTCGGCTCCACTCCGAAACTGCCATGGGGGAGAAACACGGTGACGGTACCCTGCCCAGGGTCCCAGTCTCCGGTTCTCACGGCGCGTCCTCGTTTTCTCAGACATTCGTCCTCCTCAGAGTACAGCGGCGCGGCGGCAGCTCAGCTCGTTCTGTTCCAATTTCTCCCTTTTCCATGCTGCTGCCCGTTCTTATCGCGACTTGGTCAGAGATTGTCGTTCCCGTACCCGGAAGCTCAGCCAAGACCCAGGCGAGCATCAAACAAGATGGTAAACAATTTGTATCCTGTAATGTCATTTCCTTCCAGTGCCACCCGGTAATTGCAAGCGAATCGCCGCATTTGCCGTGCCCCTGAGCGAACTTTCTACCTTTACTCGGTCTTGCCGTCTTTCCAGGTCGTCGAAGAAGACGCGCCAGCTCACATTACGAGAATTGCACAAATCAGGAGAACATCGCATGAACAGTGAAAGGCTCCCATCGTTGGTATATCGCGCGAGCTATAGTTACAGTAGTCGGAAGGGGGAATCCGTTCTCGTGTCGCCAAAGCGGGAATCTTCTCTCTCAAAGCATTCAACACAATCCCAAGCCCCCCAACCACGCGTCGCGCTCGATCAAAAGCAACCGCAACATATAGAAAAGACCATCAAGACAAAAACAAAGACAACAAGACAACGCAGTTGCGTTTTCCCCCCCAGGTTGGTTTCCCACCAACGCTTCCCGGCCCATTGCCCTTTCCCAGTTAGTTAAATAACAACTCCCGTAAACGCCTTTCGACAAGATTTCGTGACACAAAAACAGTTGTGCGGAGAGCCGAGTAGAGTTACTCGACATTGCATCATCGTTCAAGGTAAGAGAAATAAGGTAAGAGTGACCCCTTATGCCGTGGCAGCGGGAGCCTCAGCCTTGGCCTCCTTCTTGTCGGCGGCGGCCTTCTTGGGCGCTGCCTTCTTCGGAGCGGCAGCCTTCTTGGGAGCGGCGGCCTTCTTCTCCTTGGGCTCCTTGGCCTCCTTCTTGGCGGCCGGTGCCTTCTTCTCAGTCTTGGTGACGCGACCAGTCTTGGTCTTGCTGAGGACGGCGGGCTTCTCCTCCTTGGCCTTGAGATATGTCAGTGCTGGGCAAGCGAGAAAGAGGTAAGGGATCAACATACGGCAGCAGCCTTCTTGGCGGCGGGCTTCTTCTCCTTCTTCTCGGCAGCAGCCTTCTTGGGGGCAGCGGCCTTCTTCTCCTTGGGCTCCTTCGCCTCCTTGGTCTCCTTCTTGGCGGCGGCCTTCTTGGGAGCGGCAGCCTTCTTCTCCTTGGGCTCCTTGGTCTCCTTCTTCGCAGCAGCCTTCTTCTCCTTAGGCTCCTTGGCCTCCTTCTTTGCGGGGGCCTTCTTCTCAGCGGGCTTGAACGCCTTCTTGGCGAGCTTGGTGCCACCGGAGGGACCTTGAGGGATGTTAGTATTGTTTCAGAGACTTAAAGAGGCAGACATGTGGTGACATACCCTTGGGCTGCTCGAAGACACCCTTCTCAACACCGGCGCGGAGGGCCTTGTTGAAGAGAGAGTCGAACATGTTGTCGCTGACGGTGTTGATCTGGTTGTTGGCCTTGACGTACTTCTTCAGGGACTGGCGGGAAGATCCGTTACGGTCCTTGAGCTGTAGGAGGGAAGGTGAGTCAATTAAAGGCAACACAAGAATAGGTGGACCATCGTCGAGGCGGTGGAGGGTAGCGCGATCGAAGGTCACGGGCGCTAGGCGCGAATGGCAGCTGACCCATCTCGTGGGTCCTCCGATCGCGTAACCCTTTGCGCCGGAGACGGAGGAGCGGTAAAACATACAGCAACGATAGCATCAGTGATCATGTCCTGTAGAGAGTTAGCAACCAACGCGTCATGCAAAAAGCCGGACTGGTTGAGGTACAAACCTGGTAGCTGGCGTGGGTGGACTTCTTGCTGGGGGCAGCAGCGGCGCCCTCGGTCTTCTTGGGAGGCATTGTGACTGTTTTGGGGGGTTGTGTGGATGCGTAAAGCGTAAAGGGTTGCTTAGAAGCAGGATTCAATCGAAATGTCGATTGAAGTCGGTTTGAAGACGGGTGTACTTTGAGAAAAGTTGCAAGAATTAAAATCGACGCGTTGTGGTGATTGAGAGAGGCGAGAGATGAAGAGGTCCGGAACGAGAGGGTGGAGGGGAGCGCGTGCGTGGAGGGGATGGGGCTTGTTTTTATAAATGGGCGGGGGCCGTTGGGCGCGGTGCGCAATCAGTAACTTTTGGGGAGACGACCTGAGGGCGCGGGCGCGGGCGTTGGATTTTTTTGAGAGTGAGCCTTGAGGTGCCTTCTTTTTTTTAATCCCCTCTCCTCCCTCTTGGCTTGGTGCGGGTGCCTTTTGGGCCCTCCAAATCCCCCGTCCATTTTGGGGGGGATGGTCGCTAAATCACGCGGACTGGGGGGCCTTGGGCCTTCCCCCTCTCAACCTTCAGTCACTTTCTTTCTCTCTCTCTCACTTCGCGTCTCACTCACTCCAGAGTCCCCCCCCCCCCCCCCCCCCCCCCCCCCCCCCCTTTTTTTTTTTTCCTTTTTCTTTTCTTCTTTCTTCTCCTTCCCTCCCTTCCCCCCCCCCCCCCCCCCCCCTCCCCCCCCCCCCCCCTTGAAGATGGCACCCTTTTTTTTCCTCGTTCCCTTTTCTTCTCCTCGCATCTCACTCACTTATCTGCTTCACACGCCAATGATACCATCAAATGACCACGGTAGCCTAGAATAAACTTAAAAGCTGTCTCCCGTTGGATCTGGCAAGGGCCCGGGCAAGTCGCAAGGGTGCTTCTCTCCACGACTATGAACGGCGTATTCCCACAGCCTGACAGCTCTACGCGTACGTCGAGTTGGTTGTGATGTGTCCGGATAGACAACAGCATGCCATAGCGCCCCAGCTTTGAGATGATGCCCTTTGACGTCTGCTTGTCTCGACTTTCCACATCTTATTGTGTCTCTCGTCTCTTCCCGCGTCACTCCCAAATCAACCTCATTGCCCTCATCCGTCGGCGGAGTATCTTGTTCGACTCAAATCGCCGATTAGTGCGGGAGCGGGAGAGACGTGCGTGTCTATTTTGGACGTGTCCAGGACTACAGCCGCCGCGATGGTATGGTGGGTGTTCTAAGAAATCCTCGGCCGGTGACAGATTCCAGCACGGCCTCGCTCGCCTCGGTCCACGGCCTCTTTCTTCTGCCCCTTTGATAATGGACCAGTCCTTTTTTCTCTGGTATCCATTTTGACGTTTAGATTGTCAAGTGCCATCTCTTATTGTTCTGATAAACAAACGGTAACGGTTAGTCGAGTCGAACGGGCTGCCCTTTGAGTTGGTGGAAGACGCGGACGGCGGCCAAGCAGCGCCCCTCACCTCTCATCTCAACCAAGGAAGCTCAGCTCAGATCAATCAGCCCAGTTCACCTCCGTCGCCGGAAGCACTCGAGCTCCCCAAGCCCCAAGCTCCAGGCTATGCATGAAGCTTCTGAGGCTTCTGTCGTCTCCGCCGTCATACCCTGGACGGGCCCCTGGTCTTCCCTGTCCGCCCCAGGGTCCATGTAAGGCACGCCGCACTCCTCCTTGCGGATAGTGAGTGCTGTCGTGTGGATAGTGGGAGGTTCCAGCACATCTCCCCTCGCCAGGTGCCACGCTGCACCCCTCAACGGGTGCTCCAGTCATCTGCCCTAAGAGGACCGGGGTAGTCTTCTGGTGTTTTTCTACTGCCGTTCCTAGTGAGTTTGAGGTGTGTGAGTCTATGAGATGAGACTCACCTCACGAGAACTGCCTAAGAACGATGGAGTGAGATGCCTACTAAGCAGGGTACGTAGGACAGAGCCATAGCCGCAGTGCCTACCTTCCATTAGCCCAACGCCCCGAGTTCCTGCCCTCGATGGTGGACACAGGGCAGAGGAAGGTGTACGATCATCCACCTTCTCTGCGCCTTCCTCCCGCCGGGCAGTCCAAGACCAGCCGGTCCCAGAATCTTAAGAAGGAGGTGCATGGTTCTTTCCCTCCTTCCTCCGGGTCCCCGCCTGGCTCCTGGCTCCTGCACCTGCACCTGCCACATGCACCACCCGCCCGTTCTTTCCCATCCAAACTGCCATGTTTTCTGCCACGCTCAATTGCCTCAGAATTCAGAAAGCACCAGACGGGACGGAGAGGCAAACAAAAAGGTACATCGCCCTTGTACCTCATCCTCCATTTTCCCTTCTGTCACCTTTTTATTTTCCAAAATTCGTCTACTTTCCTTTTTTCTGATTGGTCCAAATATTCCTCGCCGTGAGGTCCTGCCGCCAGCGTGCCTGCTTCCCCCGTGGACCGTGGACCGTTGGTCCTTCCCCTCCCCGTCCCGAGTGCTCACTCAGTCCCCTGATGCTCCGTCGTCCCTGCTGCTCTCTGATGCCGCACACGTTCGCGGGTCTCCCTTCTCCCACCAAACTCATTCTCATCGCCCACCTCAACCACCCTCTGCTCTCCTCGCCCTTCTCCTCTTTCTCTTCCCTCTTGATTCCCTCTTCTTCCCATTTACTCACCCTCCATTACAAAAAATGACTCATGGCTCGCCGTTGTCACGTTTTAAGTCTTGCGTCCGCCGATCCACCGTCCTCCGACCCGGCCCCAATTTCCCTCCCATTCTCACGCCTTTCCCCCGCCGAGAAGCCCGATTTTGCATCATCGCCCATCTTCGTTTTTACCCCCGACCGTCAATGCCATCCGTCGCATCCGCTCTGATGCCTCTGTCTTTCGGTTTCATCTCGCGCTAACTGTTTCGTTTTGTTGCTCGAATTTTTCTCCATCGTTTGATGCACTTTTCCCTCTGTTTATCGCGTGTTGCGGCTCTGATATTGCGCGCACATTCCCAACCCCCGACCCCGACTGTTGTGATTCGGTCGCGCTTCGTCCAAATTGAAGCTATCCGCACATCTTGCACCACCATCGTTACAATCATCAGCAGCACCCCGAAATTTATCAAGGAAACACCGGAATCCATCATCTTGGTCGACCTTCTGCTCGGCGATATTTTTGTTGAATTTCTATCATTTTCCTAGCCCGATTTGACTTACACCGAGTATATCGTTTCATGCCATCGTGATGGGGCCACGCGACCGGTGAAATGAGGTGCATCGCCTCATCCGCGTGCCTACGGCCATCCCGTTGCCTAAACTCGTCAATCACGTCTTCTATGGTATCACAGTGACTACTCCCATTGATGCATGGGGTTATGGGCAATTTGGAGCTGGTTTCGTGCCACCAGCGCCAATAATTCAATCCAGTGCAAGAGACGCGGTGGAAGCTATTCGCATTTTGCCAGCGCTTCCAGCCAAAAGCGGGATACCATCGCTGCACACTAGTGAAAGATGATGAAATTTCCGCCGTGAACTTCTGAGATTTAATTTTTTATCTGGTCACTTTGTTTTCTTTCTCTTTCCATCGAAATTGCTCTTGTCCGGGCTGGCGCTTCCAGATTGACGCATGTCTGCCCAAGGTGGAGGAGCAGAACACGTGTGTCCGTCACCGCCTCATAAACTACCATGACCAACACATCGTCAACTTGGCTGAAACTTACGAACAGTTGTCGAGCCTGATTAAGAGAATGAGTCAAAGAGATATCGATGTCAATCTAGAGATAATATTGGCAACGCAGCTATAGCAAGTCTTGCGACCTTCCTAGCAGTAAAGAAAGGGGGGAGGAAAGCATGTGTCACGTGGTGCTGCTTTCTAGCAGCAAGCACCTTGCGTCGCGAAACACATCGTCAATGGTATTAATCCGTGAGTATTTCAATCTGCAGGAAGTCCTTTCGAGTATTTCTGCGAAACTACCGACTTTGTACTCTTCTTGGTAGGCGCTCGGTCTGATAGACAGGGACCGGATGTTCGCGGGCGAGGCAGGCGGGTAGCCTCGCTGAACGATCGCCTTCCTGCCTTCTCGCGCGCGATTCACTCACAAGATATGACAGGGGGTGCGGTGAGACTCTTGCTTTCAAAGGTCCCAAATCGAGTACTCTTGATCAGGAGCTTTGCATTCTACCGTCTGTTTGACTGCATTGCAGTTGGTCCAGATACTCGTACGAGGCTGCGACTTCATTGTTTTGACTTTTGACGCGTGTACCACAAAGGGTCCCCCTTTCCCTCTTCACAGCCGCCTACAGAATGATCATCACGTCGAAAGAGTCATAAGAACACCAATAACCGAGTAGAGTAGATCTAAAACAAAAGTATGAACCGTCTACAAATTGCATGCCGTCTATGCTGACGAGACCATTGCAAAGAGTTCAAGCCGGACAGACGCGTCAACCGGATGCGCCGCCCAGGAAGACGCACTGGACACTTTTTTGCGCGCTGGCAAACTGCAGTGTCGTTGGTCGGTCCGGCGTCCTCCCTGATCTGGAAGGTGGGGCAGGCAAGGCAGGAGGAGGAGGAAGCTATGACCACCGTTCCCGTTGCAGCTCGGAGCTGCCTTCCGCCCAGGTTCCCCCCGCCGCACAGGACGCAACTGCCAGTAGGAGGCAGCTTGGTTGGTTCCTGCTTCCTCATGTAGCTTACCTTACTTCACCAAGATACTCACTTAGGTAAGCAAGGAAGCTCCATATTTTAATTATATAATGCACGCGTGCTTACCTCAGCTGTTCTCAGGGTCCTAGAGATGGGCATGCACTCGACCCCTTGCCAAAACCCTTCAGCGCGTCTCACGGATGCAGCCGGGGGGGTTCTTAGTAGCTGCTTTCATCACTGCCTTGGTTCAACAAAGACAAATCTTCAGCGAGGACTGCGTTTGCGATACAAACACTACGAGATACCAGAGAATACTTGACATGATTATTGTTGATTCCATGAGAGATGGAGGGGTTTTGCCAATGTTGCATCGCATGCACCGCCACAAACCCAAGGTAAACTCCAACCTCACTTGGCGAAACTCAAGAGCTTGCTACAAGATGATATGTGGCTTATTGGGCGCATCCATTCCATCATCTCGATCTGGGTAATTCGAAATGAGTAGATTAAGAGCTAAAGACCGCAAAAGAATGATCGTTCCCTTCTCATCAAGCGGCAGACGCACGGTGCTACTAGGGGAGAAACTTCACTACTAAGCCTGGGCTCCGGGCCCTGGAGGTGTGAATCATTGACCCTGCCAGATGGACCCGGTATCGAATAGAGGCACAGCGAGAATGTAAGAACGCAAGGCCACCCTACCTTACTAGAGATACCGCATCTGATGGAACTCTCATGTTGACTTCATCGTAGAAGTTGCGATTCTGCACCTGCTTTATGCAAATAGATACGTAGGCATCTTCTTTCCCTACGGGAACACCCTCCAAGTTACCTGAATAAGGTGCTTGATTACGTCGAGATACCTCGTACCGAAAGTCCGAGCCGGAACCCCCCACGCCCTATGGCTCTTTACCAGCACAAAGGGCGCGCTCCAACTACCGACCCAAGCCAACGGGCGGCAATAACGCAGGCCGGGAATTGCAACAAGAACCCGCTGGAAAGGGCCAGCCTTCAGGCCAAATTCAACTTCCAACATCCACTTCCACCCGGCGTGCACTCAGACTACCTTATCTTACGGGATACTTTCCCTTATTCTGCACCGACTCGCAACGCGTAGCCGACGGAAGCCGAATTTCCTCACTTTCCCGCCATCCACCTTTCGCCGGACTTGTAATCAGATTCTTCATCTCGTGCTTCGCTAGCATTCTCTTTTCCGTTTCTTCGCTTTACGTTTCAATAGATACCCGCAGTAAGCAACTCAAAAATGCGCAACTCAATTGTCCTCAGCCCCGGCCTGGCCCGCCCCTCGACATTTCATACAACCCGTCGATCGTTCGTGACCACCGCTGCAAAGAGTGTCGCCGCCGCTACTTCATCTCCAGCGTCTGCGCCACCGCTGAACCCACGATGGCTTTCTGAGCTGCAGTCGCGCATCAAGCGGTGCGCCGGGCTCGACCTCAGCGGGCAGCAGAAGGAGGAGTTGACGGCTCTGCGGAAGGCTGTCGATGGGCAGTGGTTGGAGTTGCTCGCCGGACGGGAGGGGTTCCTCACCGGTCCCGGGTGGAGGGGCCTTGACAGACATACAGTGACTTGGGGAGACCAGGTGAGTTCCTGTTACACCATGAGTTTTCAAGGGATGAGATGAATTCGGTGCTGATTGTGATGGAAATCAGGATGCAATGGTGAGTTGAACCGGAGCCTGACTCCCCAAAGGAAGGGAGACAATAAACTGACATAAGGTACTACAGGGTATGGCTCGCACCCCGAATACACCATGAGTCTCAATCTCACATCTGTAGGTCATGTAAACAATGTCGTCTACAACAAGTACGCCGAGTCGGCGCGGGTCAACTGGCTTCGTAACTTTGCGACGACGGTGGATCCTGAGCACAAGGATGAGTGGGACCAGCTCATGAGCCCAAAGGACATTGGCCTCATCATGAGAAGCATCAAAACGGACTACAAGTTTGTGAGTGACGCTCTCATCAACAGGAACCACCAGGAACCGAAAGTCGTTGTATTTTTTGGCGCCGCGGCGGTTGAGCCTAAAACACCTGAATCGCTCACACTGACAACCAATGTGAAGCCAATGGCCTACCCAGACCACGTGACGGTCCTCCATAAGCTTGTTTCCAAGCCGACATACGAATCAGATTTCATCCTACTTGAAGCTCTTCTCATCTCCGAGGGCCACCGTCGCCCTGCCGCCCGCTGCTTCGAGGATATCGTGGTCTACGACTACAAGACCGCCAAGAGGGCGCCGCTGAAGCCCTTCATGGTCGACCGGCTACGGGAGACATACGAGGCGCAAGAGCAGAGCAAGATTGGCTGCGAGGAAAAAGTAAAGGGTCTCGTCGACATTGTCGAGCGTCTCGAGAAGGCCGCGTAAGGCGTGATGATCGGGGATGGCGCGTCACTGCTTTTTCGCCGCAAGAAGCGCGATTGTGTGTGAGAGAAGGGACGATTGTAAAAACACAAGACATTATACATAGACTTAGATCATAGACCTCACATAGAGAATCAAGGTTTCCAAGTAACGTATTTTCACGGGCTGAAAAGCCGTTGGAAGCGCCCAGATCTGAGGGAGGCTCCGGATCGACGGGCGATGACGGCGTGAGGCTTTTCATCGGCTGAAAGTGGAGATCTGCGCGACATCGACGATTCAATCAACGCCTTGCCCGTGTGACCTTGTTTGTTCCCCCACCATCACCACCACCACCACATAGCCTTGCCTTTTAATGTTGCATATCGCGCAACCTCAAGTGTGAACCGTTGTCATTTGCAGCATAGACACAATTTCTAGATCCTTTAAAGTTTCGTTCATCATCATGGGTAGTATCTCGTTCCGCGAGCATATCCGCTGGATCCCCGATGAGGCGAGCGAGCCGACCTCGACCATAGTGCTCACGTCCCCGCAGCGCCGTTTCGTGGACCTCCGCATTCTGAAGCAAACGCCAACCGTCGATGGCGTGCAAGGTAAATTCCAACGTCCTTTTCACACGCGACCTGGCCCAGGACCCCCAAAAGCCACCGCGACTACCAGACAACTCCAGAGCTAACACCCACAAAGATACGCACGCCATCGAGCGCCTGGAATGGGGCATCGCAGGAACCTCGTCGTCGTCCACCCGCACCGACGACCAGGGCGCCGAGGTGCGCCACTCGCGCTGGGAGCACTGGATCGACTCGCGCACGACGGAGCCCGAGAACGCGGCCGACGAGGGCGACATGTACGAGCAGCCCGACGGGCTGACGCTCGAAAAGGGACGGATGGTGAACCCTGCCACCGGCGCGGAGACGGATTACGAAGAGCTGTGGAGGGACGTCGAGCCCGTTACGGTTCCTCCGGTCGGTGCCGTGGCCGAGGGCGGTGAGGCTCCGAAGGGTGTTGAGTGTGTTGTGCTCAAGCACGAGGACGAGACGAGCGGGGCGCGGGGTATGGTTGTGTGGTTGGGGCGGTTCTGTCAGGGGATTTCGAGGGTCGGGGAGGAGGTTGCGGCGGAGAGGTGGGAGTGGAAGGAAGGGGAGGGGTGGAGGCGGACTGTGAGGATTGGGGATCGGGCTTTGCCTTGCGAGGTGTTGTTGATGACGGGTGCGGCGTTGAGTGTTGGGACGCATGTTGTTCATGAGGAGGTTGTCTGGGATGTGCTCGAGAGTCGGTGATTGTGTGGCCTTTTCGTGATCTTAATAGGAAGATGAGAATGAGGTGTCTAGGCTGTCATTCTCCTAGAGAGTTTCTAGAGACTAGATTGCCACGGTTGGGTAGAAAGAGCAGCATTGTGGTTAGAGGAGATTCCCTAGAGATTGCACGTTCAAATTCATGGATTGTTTTCTCATTCTTCGTCTCGACTCTTTCCGCTGCCCTTTAGAGGAAGTTAAGTTTAGAAACTAGGTGGCAGTATATATTTTAAAAACAGCTGACAACCGACGTCTACTGAGCTTGCATGAATGCCCCAAACCCATATCTACGAGTTGAGGTAGAGAAACTAAGAAGTGAAATCTGCATGTGAGCATTAACACACATCCATGATAGGGCGGCTCCGAACAAGTCCGTTCTGGTGCATCCATGTCTTTTGGGGAAGAGTTTCACGCCAGCTGAAGTTGAGAGTTTCGCCAATCAGGTCCAGATGCGAGGTCCTAGAAACGCACGAACCTAGGAGCGTGGCGTATGGGCAGTTCAGATGAATCAGTTGCGCACCTGAGAAAAAGAGGCTTCGGACAAATGCTGGGCTCTGGCATCTAAGGTGATTGTCTGGCGCTCATTTCAATACGAGGTTTTACTCCATTCTTCGATGGCTGAAAGGCTCAATCTCGAAGATGATGCACCACTTATGCTTGCTGTGTTTATTTAACATAGGGATCAAGGGGAGATTCTTCCCCTGATAACATTATGGTCCTCGAGCTGTGCCTTAATCAGCCGTTGAGGTGACTTAAATCGTAGACGAGACTCTCCTCGAGTGAAGATCCCGCAACACCAGCTCCAAGTAATGAGCACTCCAACTTCAGCATACCTACATACGGTAGCCTGAGTATTCAAGTTGTAGCAAACAACGGCATCCGTTTATTTTCAGAACAAAGTTCATGGATTCTGCGGTTCAGTCATTTGGACTTCAAGGTGATGGATGGCCGACACACAGAAGCCATGGAACCAAAAGGTATACGGAATCTGTGGCAATATTTCCCGCATCGCTGTCAAGTTTCTTTTCTCCAGCACATATCCAGCATCTGGCAACACCTAAGATATATCAAAGACCATTCTTCGATTGATTTCGTCTCTTGCATCTTATACTGAGAAAAGTCCTGCATCAGAAATCCGGAAACACCACCAACGTCCAACCCGACTCTTGATTAATCATGGCTACAACATTCCACCAATTTGGCTTACTCCCTGTCGAGGTGCGACTACAAGTGTGGGAATGCAATCTTCGGTCTGCAGACCCAGCTTTTCACGTCTTCTCTATCAAAGGCCGAGCTACGACTACTATGTCAACCGATCTTACACACAAAACACCAACGCAAGTTCACCAATACGAGACTTATATTCTTTCCAATCCTACATACACACCAAAAAAGCGGTGTCCGTGGTCCGAGTCAGATCCTTCGACATACCGCGTCGATGCCGGCCTTTGGTCCGCCTGTAAGGAGTCCAGAGACGTGATTCAAAAGCATTACGCAACGCTGGTGAACCCTTCTAGCGGCCACAGCTCTTCTACACGACATAATCAACCTGTACAAAGCGCTTCCGGATCAAGCATCCTTCCAGGCAAAGATCTCATCATCTTCCAAGTTGCACCCGACGCATACGTCCCCGTCGGAGACGCATTATCCGCCCTCCGCCCCTTCTTCCAAAACGACGGAACCCAACTATTGCACATCGCGTTCGAATTCACCGACGACTGGGGCATCCAGCCCACCGAAGACATCAAGTCCATGATTAATCAACCAGGTCCCCGGGCTTGCTTTATCCGCCTCTTGGAACGGACTATGTGTGGGCTTCTTTCGGCCAAGTTATACCTCATGGATTACGGCTCGAAGGGGGCCGAGGTCGGGTCGCCGGTGCTCTTCTCCGCTGGAGGTTACGATCTCAGCGAAATCGAGTGGACGCCCACACCGACTGCGGCGCCTGATATATGTGCCGCGAGATATTTTACTATCGACCTCTCCATCCTAGGTTTGAAGTACTGGCCCTTTTTCCTACCGATGTGGGCGCCTGATGATCTATTGACTTCGCGGCCGTTTGTTCATTACTCGTCTTCCATAGCCAAGGTTGCGGTGCTCCGATCCGAGAGAAGAACTCAGGCCGAAGAATCAGGCGGTGAGGGAAGGAGATGAGAGTAAGCGTCCTCTGTGTCCTACTAAATGCATTGTTGCTGATTTTTGTCTAGGTGTATGTAAAATAACAATATCGTATCGTGTGATTTCCCCGAAAGCCTCATCCCATTAAGGCCGATCTTTTGCGCCTGTAAAGCCGGGAAAAAACCACCAGATGTAAAATGATACGATGGAACAACGGACTGCTCAACGTTCAAACTGTAAGAAAGTGGTAGGTCCCTCTGTAAGACATCTAGGCACTGATATCACCAAAGAACTCTACCGTAACTAGAAAGCCTCTACTTTTCAAGGGAATTAAGAGCCTTACTATCTGTCACAAGGATTCTCCCCTGCATAGAAATACTAGCCTACCATGTGATCTCTCGAATAGCCTCCCTTCCGTACTTCGCGCTACCGGATTACAGTGCTAAGAGTTGAGGGTATGAAAGGGTGGTAGACCTGGCAGAAAGAAAACGAGAAATCTCAAATAGTAGTTAATATACAGACGATATCGTGGCCAAACGGGACATTATAATTTTTCACGAGCTTGGTGCCATTACAGGCTCAGGAGCGTGTCTTTCTCTATTATTTACAGCATTTCCGATATTTCCACTAATTGATCAGTTTTGATCTAAATAAGACCTCGCATCAGAGAGGGGTAGCCATTCCGACTTTCGGCACCGGGAACTGTTCTAGGCAGGTGGCAGATGTTAAGCGGGGAAGCCAAGACGATCTGCCTCATTTCACAGCAATTTACCAAAGGCATTCAAATAGCGCTTACAGATCGTAGCATTTCGAAGGATCAGGTCGCATTCGGGGTTGCAGAAAGCCTAAAAGGAGACTTGGGATTATCAATATCAGGTTATCTCGGCCGGATCACAACCCCTCGGCGCGATAACCTCAGCAAGTCCGAGCGAAGTGATATGCATGGGCAGCGGGGCATTGGCCAATCAAGGCGATCCATAGAGTCGCAATAAACTCTTTTGGCCCTGGTTCGGTCTGTCATTGCATTTGTTACGTTACGTCCGCAACTCAAGAAGCTATTGCTTGCGTTCTTGCTATGGACTGACGCTGTCCATAAAGACTGCAGCCTGTCGTCTCAGAACTGGGCGGCTGGTTTGAAGCTGACATTTGCATAGCTTCTTCAGGAAAACGAGGTCATCCTGCGCGCAACGATGGGAGTCTCCAAGAGAACCGATCTTTTCACTCTGACTTGGGTGCTATTGTCACTCTTTGCCAATGCCGCAGCAGCCGCCGGCGTGAAGAGCATTTTCCTCTTCAAGGATGTTCTCCAGTCGAACACCACAGCTCTCAAGACCTCCGGCTTCGACACCCTCCTCATCTTCCGTATCGGTCTCCTCGGCAATGGCGATCTCGTCTACTACTCAACAGGAGACGCGGGCGAGGCAGTCGACGCGCCCGTGGTGACGAATGGCTCATATGTTGGTGGAACCGCGTTGGCGGAAAAGGTTAAATCCTTCAAGACGGGCACAACCAACATCAACAGGGTGGAGATATCGCTGGTGTCACATGACACGACATTTCAGATCATCCGCGATTTGATCAACGCAGACGGGA